TAAGAAAGGAAGAGCAAAAATATATACCAATCCTTAGTAGATCATTAAGTATCTACTTAGTCAATCTAATGAATATCTAAGCTAGAGAAAAGAACATATTTTAGCTATTTTGATGAACTCAATATAAAACATTAGAGAAAGTGACAATCATATTTATAAAACTTCTAATCAAGTATAGATAGAGAGTGGGATCACATATAGAAGATATATTTTTTTATTGTAGTTACTTTTACAATTACTTGTATAGAAGTATCTACTAGAATGAGCTCATTTAACCAACTAAAATTAAAAGATTTTAAATAAATTTATATTGATTCTCAAAGTTGTCATTTGATTGATAATTTACTTTTAATTCCAAAAAAAAAGTCTAAGATCTTTCATGTGAAAAGTAGCATAAAGCATTTCTCAAAGCTTAGGAATCAAGTTATTATATGATTCAATAATGATTATATCATCCATTTAAACTAAAATGCTAAAGTCAAGAAGCATATTCCAAACTTTTTAACCAAGCATAAAGAATATCTTTTAGCATATATAAAGATTGCATTAGTCATTATAAGGAGAAGAATTAGGTAGAGGAGAAGGAATCACCATCTACACTTGATATACCCATCGAAGTTGTGAGGAGTGCATATTAAGTTTATGAATCAACTTCAACTTAGTAATCTATGCTCAATGGCTTAAATAGGAAAGGCTTACATATAATATAACCTTTACTAACATATTAATTTCTTATGTCAAAATTGGGCATGTTTAAATCACAAGTTTTATATGTTCTTTATTATTTCAAGGTTTGGGGACAAAACTTCCCTAAGAGGGAGGAAACAATATGTCCATGTTTTGATAGGTGTATTTTGAGTTTGTAGATCATGTTTAACTCGATTAGTGGTATGTGCTTAATTACTTAAATAAGGAATGATTCGCATTTGATGCAAAGTGCTATATGTCAAGTGTTGCACTTTTGTTATAGAGAAAAACATTATTCATAATCGTTATATAAAACGTCTAAGATTGAGAAGTGGTAATATCTAAGATAATTCTAAATATAGTAAATATTTATGCGAAGAAGAAAAACCTCTCCTTATAATTAACACTATATTCCTATTTATTACCAAAAGCTATAAGTGAGCTTTATTATTTAAAAAATTATTAGAATGTACCTTGACAAAAAGAAATATTTATGTGCTCCTAATAAGTGTGGTATTGAGTGGAGAAAGGGCAATATTCCAAGTGAAATTCTCTAAGTACTTTGACCTTTGCTTGAATTACCTACATGGTCTATTTATAACAAAAGCAAATAAAAATAGAAAACAAGGTAATTAAGATGATATAGGCAATGAAAAACCATACTAATTAAAAGATGGAAAAGATTGAGTAGATTGACAATGAAGAAGTATGATTGGATCTAATGGTGGGTCACAATCTGAAAGTGAATCACATAGTGAGAAAATCAGAATACGTTAAAGTGTCAGTCAAAGAAAGAAGAAATATTACTAGCAACATTAAGCTAAAGAAATTAAATATTATTAATTGTATTAATTCACTACGTCAGAACGGAAATTTGAGAGCAGTTCTATTTTAAATTAGAGAGCGTTTAGAATTACTCTAAAATCTTGTATGTGTTATATTTAAGATAGCGGTTAAATAACTACTCTCAAATGTTAAGATTGGATAGCAGTTCTGCGTGGAACCGTTCTCTAAAGTATAGATATAGACCGCGAATCTGAAATTTGAAATTGATTTCTTTTTTGAGTTTTCTATTGCAAAATTAAAATTAATTTATTATTACTTTTAAATCAAATTTTGAAATTGATTTCTTTGTGAGTTTTCTTCATTTTTATTACAAATCAAAATTGAATCTTGAGTTTATACATTTGGTGTTGACCAAACAATCCACATCTGCATAAACCAAACATAAGTAAGCAGAGAAAAAAGAGAACAAATTAATAGAATGATTTTTAACATTAATAGAGAGAGAAAGAAAGAAAGAATGGATGATCCACCGTTAACAAAGAGAAGAAGAAAGAAAAACAGAATGAAAAAGTACCTACAGATATGAAAAAAAACTAATTTGTTAGCATAGAAAAGATGAAGAAAGCATACTAACAGAGAATGAAGAGGTACCTACAGATGTGGAAAAAAAATCAATTTGTTAATGAGAGAAGACGGAGAGAGCAGGCTAACAGAGAAGATGAAGATAACAGAGAAAAAAAACTTACAGTAAAAGAGACCAGCTTTGTTAACTAAGAAGAAGAAATGCACTGAAAATATTTCATTCATAAGTGACTTTAATAACATTAGAGAGCGGTTCTTTATTAACCGTTCTCCAAGAATGAGATTAGAAAGAGGTTAATCGCTCTCTAATGTGTGACTTTAGAGATCGGTTAATAAAGAACCGCTCTCAGAATTATAGATCTAAGAGCGGTTAATAGAAAACTGCTATCTAAATATATAGTTACATGCTAAAAGCTCATTTCTGGCATAGTAATTTTATATGTTCTATTGTACTTTTGCACGTTGGTCGTTTGATTATAGGCTTTAGAATCAAAATACTGTGACTACCTATGAAAACAAAAGTAGTAAGTACCATTTTAAGAATGTGTATGTTTAGGTTTAACAAAGATATATGAGTAAATGACATGCAATAATAAGCAAAGAATCATGAAACAAAGATCTTGAGCACCGAGACATATACAGTTTCTTGTCTTTTTTCAGGTCAAGTAAAACATGATAAAATACGTGTTCTTATTATTTCCAATAATTAAAAAACTTTTGCAAACAATTATTTGTATTATGACCAAATCATTTGCTATGCTACATGTCTTTACCTTTCTCCCCTTTGTGTAGCATTTAAAAGATGGTATGGGATTGCTATGTGGCAAGTTAGAGTCTTTTACTTTACAATTGATTTCTATTATTGGATTCATGCACCAAGCAACGTTATCTTTCTCCAAAAAGGAATTAAAATATTTCAATTTATCATAAAATATGATTCCTTATACATACCCAAAACCAAAATACTAAAGTTAAGAATTTGAGAAAGTACATAAAAAAAAGTGTCGTACAAACAAGAAGAAAATGTCTCAAAATCACTTTTCATAACACAACACATTAAAGATCGTCAAAACGATATTGAACAGAATATCCCACCAAATTGCAAGGATTGGGCAATTGAAGAGTTAACCACTGTTCAAAATTGAAGTTTTGATAATAAAAAAAAAGAGTGTGGTCTTTCCACTTTGCGTCCATTCTTATTAAATAGTAGTTTATTTACTGTACAAAATATAAATTATAGGAGATGTTACAAAAATTTATGAATAAAAGATAAATTTCCTAAAATTAGTATTTATAGATTATAATAAAATAAGAAAATGATAATAAAAAAAAAGGATAAAAAACTCATAAATAAAATGTGACAATCTAGGGGTGAACACTGTGTAAAAAGATTTAATAGCAATTTTAGAGGGGAAAAAACAGTATTGATATATGTACACTTGATGGGTGGCTTAAGTGATAAACAGTATAGATATTTTTAATGCTATGCTTTGAACCTACGTAATAAAACCTTAACAATGTTAGTTCAAAAGAAATAGAAGGCATTGCGGATGAAAGATAATTTAATAGCTTCATTAAGGATTAGTCTTAATTCCAAATTTAAAGAATGTGACAAATCTTATAAAACAAATAAAGTAAATGATAACAATTATTTTAATACATTGATTTTTCAATAAAAAATAACCTTACAAGCAACATTAATAAATTGTATGTAATTTTATTAAGAGTTAAAAACTTATTTTAGTCTTTAAAAGATATATATTAAAATTGGTGTTCATATAAATTTAGACTGCTAAACACATAAATTGACATTAAATTATTGTTGTAAAAAGTTGATACTAATTTAATTTCTGTCATTAACCAAATGTCAATTTAGTTTCTCAATTAGACATCATACTAAAATTCACACCGATAAATTTTTGCCTTGCTAAATCTTTATTTTAAAAAAAAAACTCTATCAGATCAAGTTTAGGATTTTATTTTTTTTCTCATGTATAATGGTGAAATATAGGTAAGCACAATATTAGTGATACAAAGAGTTTTAATTTCTTTTACATAACATTCTATTATACTTTCTTTTATATTCATTTAAAAAATGCCTTTCTTTTTCCTTTCTATCATGAAAAGTAATTTCGCAATTAACAAATAAAAAATATAATATTGAGTCACTGAATATTATATTTATATAAATACTTCCAAATAAAAAAAATGACCCACCAAAATTTCTTATATATATATATATATATATAAGAGAATCATGCACTCTAAAAATTCCAAGAAAAAGTCCTTTCCAAATATAAATACATGATTGTCTCGTATGCTTGTGCTTTCCTCTTTAATAAAAGAGAAACTAATCAAAGAAGTGGAAAAGTTACCGTTTTCAAATTATTAAATAATGGCTCTTTTTAAATGGGGAGAAATAAGAAAGGAATATTTTTCAAAGACACAAATAAAATATAAAAGATACCGACCAGCTGTTTAAGGATATTGATTAAAAATTATTTTTATGATTTTCAATATATTTTAAAATTTTAATTTAAATAGTTATTTAATTGTGGCTTATTATATTAGAAAAATAATTAAATTTTTAATATATACACAATAAAAATATTTTTAAAATAAAATCATTAAATATCATAAAATTTAATACACAGATAATATTAAATGTCACGATTTTTAGTAAAAATTACTAATTATGAATATTTTTATTATAGGTTCTGAATACACATTAAAAATATTATATTTTTAGTAATTTTTTAAATAATATTTTTGTGACCCTTATTAATGAAACCTATAAAATATTATTTAAAACATTCAATGAGATGAAAACGTTGACTAAACAATTATATAAAAAAAAGTTACAAATGATTTATTTCATTTAAATATATTGTTTGGAGTTAATTTGATTTTTCAAAATGGTTCTTAACTACCGTAGGATTTGAGGTGCTGACTGGTGAATCAGCCTCAAGATCTTTCTTCTTCTCCCTGCCACCCTCTCCACCAAAACCAGTCTCTGAATCTCTCTCCAAAACCACTCAAAATTTTTGTTTCCAAAGTCTCAATCTTGTATTTCTCCCAAACCCAGATGTCATATTCTTTCTCACATCACCCACTTTGGATTGATTGCACCATTGAAAATAAACAAAGTTGCATACTTTGATTTTATTTCTTCACAATTCAAACCTTCTTTTCACGCTGTTCAATTTTTTGAACTCACACACACAAAAGACTCTTCTTTTGTAGCAGTCTTGGGTTGGCTTTGAATAAACAAGCTAAATTGACTTCTTCTATTTTGCTTCTAACTTTTTGAACTTTGACACCCCATTAAAGCTCTCTATTGTTCTGTTCTTCTAATCCAAAAAAACACTCTTTTATTTTTTGTTTTTATGAAGCTTACCATTTTAGAATTCTGGGTGTGAGTGATTTTTTGTTATATTTTTGTTCTAGATTCATCAAAAGGTTTAATTGAATGACATGGTTGTTGAGCTTTCCTCAGAAAATTGTGTGGTTTCCATGATGAGTCCAAGGATTTCATTCTCACATGACTTCTCTCAATCAGATGTTATACCAGTTGAGAAACACCCTTTGAGATCAAACTCATCAGGCTTGAATTCAAGCATTGATTTTGATTTCTGTGTTCATGAAAGCTTAGAACTTGAGTCTTCTTCAGCAGATGAACTTTTCTCAGATGGTGTCATCCTTCCCACTGAAATCAAGAAGAAGAAGAACAATATTGCTCCTTTGAAGCCAAAAACTCAACCTTCATTACCAATACCACCCTCATCTACTATTTGTGACAATGCTTCTTCCACCACCAGCAAAAGCACCAAGAAAGAGAGCCTCAAAGATAACAAGGACTTGAATGATGAAGTTGATGAGAAGCAAAGTTCGAAGTCATTTTGGCGCTTTAAGAGAAGTAGTAGTTGTGGAAGTGGATATGGAAGGAGCTTGTGCCCTTTGCCTCTTCTATCTAGGAGCAATTCAACTGGTTCTACTACACCAAGTGTTAAGAGGGTGCCACTTTCAAAGGAAGGTCCTAATGTCAAGCAAAATTCACAGAAACGCTCTTCCATCACAAGGTCTTCTCAATCCTTTGGTTCAAACAATCATCAAAAGCCTCCACTCAAGAGGAGTCATGGGTCTTATGCTAATAGTATTCGAGTTAGTCCAGTGCTCAATGTTCCTTCTGCAAACCTTTTTGGTTTGGGTTCAATCTTCTCCAACAATAGAGATAAGAGCAAGAAGAAGTAATTTACAAAGTTAAACGCGGGTGGTGTATTTTCAGTTTTACTATTTTGAAATTGAGTGGGGTCTTATCTTTTTGTGTACTTCCCTAAAGCATGTGATTAGGAAAATTTGGTGTAGGCTATAGGTTGAAGTTTTGAAAGTTAAATTTACTGGTTTGCTTCAAGAAGAAAAAGTGATAAAAAAAAAATTAAAAAAGTTATTTGTGTGAATGGGATGGACAAGCAATGATATAATTCAGGCACATGATTTGGGGGCACAAAATGTCAAGAAAATGTTGCTTTCATGGCTGTCCCTTGCTTGTGTTTTTTTCTCCCTCTGCCTTTGTTCTTTGGTCACACAAGGTGTAAATACATCGATTTTACTTTATGTCCCTCTCTCTCTCTCTCTCTCTTCTTTTTCTTTTGGTTCTCTTCAATTCTTCTGCATGAACAAGAGATTAAACTTGAAGTTGATTGTACATTTGTAAGTGAGAAGAACTTAACGTGTTTCTCTTCTGCTTTTGGTTGTTATTGTCTTCCATGGCTTGATGCCTTGATTATTGTTAATAAAAATGTTTCCTGACATATATTTGAACAGAACCAATTGAATATTGATATTGAACAGAACACATTAGATAATTATACTGAGTCCATTAATGGGCTGAATATTACTTTTTCGTTGATTTGTTTCCCTCTCTTTGGTTAGTGATTGCTTATTTTTTTGGGGTGATCGACTTGAACACCACATGACTATGATTATGATCAGTGACCCCTGATTTTTCAAGAACCATATCCTTCTCTTCAAAGATTGCCAAATTGATACGGCGTCTGAAATGGAATTTTTTCCACTGCCCCTTTAATTTTTTGATGCAATTTTGGCCTCTTTGAAGGCGATGAATGGTAAAATTGAAGGTTGAAATTGATGTCTCAAAAGCCTACGAAAAGATGTTTTAGTATGGTCGTACTTCATTAAATGATGGTCTTGGGTAAACTTCAAATTCATAAAATTTCTCAATTTGTATATATTCTGATGTTAAAATTTCAATCACAATTAATACTCGTAATTTTACTCTTTGAAATGAACACTGCACGTTAACTACAAGAAATTGTTCAACTTTGAGCAAGCTTTTACTGAATCCATCACATTAGCATTATTGCTTCTTCACGTAGTTGTCAACTTTATACAAAAGCCTATCTATGAGAAATATTGGAAGGTTTAATCTCTGTTGTTCCTCTAGAAAAATTATTACATGGTTCAATTAAAAAATGTGGTTAAATTTTAAATATTTGAATTAAAAATTTTGGCCATGAATTGTGTGATGATTAGCTGAGGTTGTATGGACACGTGATAAATACAGATTACACAATAATTTCTCTTAAAAATAAGAAAAGAAATACAGATTAAATAATTTTATATATATATTATGAGGAAAGAAAATTCATATTTAATACATTTCCTTATGTTCACATAATAAAAGATAAAATATCATGTGCTTGAAAAAAAGATGGTTTTCGTACATCTTTTTGGATAAACTTTCAGCGATTGAGTCAATAATTACGTTATCTGTTGTCAGCTGATTCTGACTCTCAAACAATTGCTTGACGTGGGTCACCTGCACTGTGTAAGATATTGACATTCATTTTTAGGTGTAAAATGGATATAAAAATAAAACAGAGAAAAAAAAAGAAAAAAAATGAAAGTGCTAATAGTTCAAAGATTTTACTGTTTGTTTACCCAGAAAAAAAGTAAAAAAAAAAAACTTTTACTCATTCAGAAATACAAGCAACAATTTTTTATACTCTTATTAACGTATTAGAAGGATTTTCACATGACACTTGTTAAATGATAAGAATTCTACTAGACTACACTCTTCATTTAACAAGTTCTATCTATTTTTATTTTTATTTAATGAATCTCACATAAATTTATTAAATACTAAAATGTATGTTAACATTTTTTATAATTTATTTTTACAATTCAATCAAAAATAGATTTACTTTAATTCACACAAAAATTAAATGATCTAATTTTTTTTTAACAAATCTAGATTCATTTAAGTGAAAATAAATCTCTTACATTTTTACTTCTTTTACCTCAATTTTTCGTATAAATTGAAGTAAATTTAAATTTCAATTCAATACTTTTTATAAATACATTATTTCATTTTTCATTTTACTTTTTGTTAGTAAATTTTTCATCTTGCATTTATTTTTTTCCAATATTTCAAATAACAAATTTTTTCAAATTATAAAATTTATCTTTCTTCTATTTTCTTCTACTCTACCGAATTACTCCAATGGGTAGTCTTCAACTTAATTGAGGGATCTTTTGGCCATTTTAGAAGTCAATAGTCATAAACAGATTTGAATCATTCGTAGTCAATTGTCAAAAGAAGGGAAAAAAAATTAAATTTAAAGGGTACACTGAATTTTATATCCATAGTCAAATAATAATGCACACACTTTCTTACCAAAGTATTGATTACTAGTGAACGGGTTAACAAATACTACTAATTGTAGAAGGAAAAAAGTTATTGTGAAGATGAAAAGGAAAACATGGTAGTTGGGGAAGGCTGATTTTGATTACCAATAACCCAACCATTGGTTTTATAATTAAAAAATATTCAATATAGTTTAGTAAATATATTTTAAACAAAATAATTTCATTTTTTAAAGTTGAGTTTGAATACTTAAGAGTTATTAAAAATTATTATATTTTTTTATAAAATATTATTATCATTTTAAGATATTTAAAGTCAACAAAAGTTTTAAAAAATTGTTTTGTAATAGCATGTGATGCCATGGGCGTTAACATTGTAGAAGAATTATTGGTCAACCACGTGGTTTTCTGGTGTGCTATGTACTTTATGATGATGGGAATTGGACTTTGAAACTCTTTCAATTGGAGGGACTTTAAAAAGCAACTTAGGAGTTAGAATATCAATATCCAATTTATTCAACAAAATTAAACACCCCACTAATTACATTATGTAATTATTATTATATTTTTTAAAACATATAAAGTACCTATTATCTCAAAACATTAAAATATTATCTTTCTTTTTATTTATAAAGACTAAAAATTTAACTGTTTTATTAAAAGATATTATTAAACTTACTAAATTACCTTTAATTAATATATTTTTTTACTCAAATTATTTAAATTATATAAATATTTTATATAAAAAAATATTGATAAATAATAACACTTGCTGAAAAGTGAATTATTTCAACCTTTCGCGTTGGTATTTAATAGTTATTATTATATTGCAAATTTTATTAAAAATCTTATGTAGGTGAGTGTTTTATATATAGTTTTCAATGGTGACCTTAAAACCGTATCTTGACTAAAATACTAGTAACGTTGAATTTATTGCTCTTGTCAATTATTTACCTCTGATCTTAAATAAACAAATTTATAGTATTAATAATAAATAATTAAAGAAAATGGTAATATTCGACATTTTCTTAAGCCGCGCTATTGATTTGTCAAATAATCTCACGTGATACTATATACTGACTTTTATTATTATTGTTATTATTATTATGCTAACAATAGACTAGGAAATATTTCGGACCGATTTATGTGGTTACTAAATTCAGTCACTAATTAACTATTTTTTTTATTATGATATAAATATATAGGAGGATAAGATCATGTCAATATAAATTAATTAGTTTGATAGTATGTGCAAAATGCATGTATTTTATTTTTAAATAAATATACATATAATTTAATAATTAAAAATAAAATTTTATAAATATGAAATATTATAAAAAATTTTGTATGATTATAAAATTAATCAAGTATAATACACTATATGATATATATCACGACAAAAGTATAATTTACAGATATATTGTTTTGAAAAAGATAGGTTAAAAAGTACACATATTTTATATATGATAATGTGATAACTAGCTAGAGAAGAGTAATGTATATCTTAATATTAAAATAAATTTATTATAATCAATTAAGGAAAGAAGTATGAGATATAGTATTTGAGAATAATATAGAATTAAAAAATATGTATATATAAAAGTGATGAACTCTAAAATTTTAATAGAGAAAACATATGTTTTATATGAAACTAAAAATGTGTAATTACTTAAACTTTTGACTAGGAGTATTATAAATAAATTATTTAAAATAATAGATTATGTATATAAATTTTACAGACATAAACATAAACATAAATATTTATACGAAAAGTTAATAAGGAAGTTATATAAATATAAATATTTATAAAAAAATTAAAAAATTATATAAGACAATAAGAAAAATTTTATAAATATAAAAAATATATTCAAGAAAAATCTAAATATTTATATAAAGTAATAAAGAGAAAGTTAAAAAATAACTTTAATTTCTAAAATTTAAAATTAAATTAATAAAGAGGTGTATAAAATTATTAGAGTGGGAAATAAATGAAATTTACTCATTATTATTTTTCAATTTTAATCACACATACTTGATTACAAGAGAGAGTAATTTTACTTAATGTTTTATTTTTCAAATAATAGTCTTTTATTTATAATATAAAAGATGAGTAAATCGTACACCCATGAGCTTCTATGCATGTGTTGAATGTTTTTTTTTTTTTTGTCAAATTGGGCTTGTAGGCATGGATTTATTTCAAATTGGGGAGGAAGTAATATGAGGTACATAGGAACATGATCTTATGCTTGTTTAGTTGTATTGGGCCTAGTTCTTGCCTCTTGGGGCCTCGAGGTGGACGACAGAGAGAGATTTACTTATTGGGCCCGTTTATTAGCCTGGGAAGGAATTTGTTGGGCTTAAATATGGACTTATTTACCAAAGTCCTAATAAAAAAGAGAGTGTAGTTCACAATGGACAAAACTTAGCTCAGAATAAAATAATAATAATAAAATTCAGGTGCTAATGCTATTTATTAATTAAAATTAAATTTTAATTTTAATAAAATATTTATATTTTATATTACTGTGATAAAGTTTTAATTTTAATTGATAAATAATACTTTGCAAAACCTCTACACAAAAATTGTTTCCCACATAAATTTATCTTCTGAATGTAAAGTAACTTAATCAAAACACACACACACAACTTAAGAGAGACTAAGTTTAAATAAGATAAGAATGACAAGTTCAATACTTGAGCTTATAGCTACTAAAATGGGCATTTCCAAATGGATTAGCATGAATTTGCATGATAAATTTTAAAACATTTTTATTTTAAATTAAATTTAAACTTTTTTAGTTTGATCTAATCAAACTTAATGCAGGTTAGGTCTACAAAACCTGCAAATAGCATTAAAAATTAAAATTTTACTGAATTTAATCACTATTTCTGTGAGCTCAAATTATATCTAAATTATTTATACCATCTTCAATACTACAGGGTGACTAAAATATAGTTATGCTTTTGTAAGATACCTAAAATATAGTTATTAGCATTTTTTAAAATGCTACTTTTTAACTACTTGCTAAAAGCAATTTTTTAAATAATAATTCTTATTATTCCTTCAATTTTTAAAATCTATTTTTTCACGTTAAACTTTTAAAAACTATTTATGTCATTAAATTTTAGGACAATATAACTAAATAATTAAAAACTATTCTTTATAAATATAAAAATATCAAAACAATAATACAAATTCATGTGCATTTTCTCATTCATTCAATAGATTTTCAAATAAGAGTAAAATTAAAATTTTATAATTATTTAAAAATAAATAATTAATAAATTTTAAATTTAAACTATAAATTAACGATATCTCTATTATCACTTTATATTTATCAGTTAATTTAATAGCTAATTGTATCAAGTACTTTCAGTATAATCAACACCTTTTCTTAGCTTTCATCTTCAACTTTTAGCTAGCTTTTCAACTAATTTATCCATTAAATTTTTAAAACACACCCTTAAAATTGGTTAAAAGTAAATGTTAAAAGAAAATAAAAAGATTAAAAATATGAAGTGCTTAATTGAATTAAAATTCATTGATGATCATTAAATAAGGTAAAGGTGACAACAACTAAATAAGAGTATGTTTGTTGAGGTAATTTAATAACTAAAACTTTATTTTTTTATTTTCTTGATAGAAGGAAGCAAAGAAAAAAAAACTATTTCAAATAAGGGACTCCCCTAAGATCTGCTTGGTAAAAATAGCATTATTTAATAAGGTATTTGAAATATGTATTTATTAATTTTTTTAAAACTTGTTCTAACTAACATTTTTTAAATGCTATTTTTTTAACTATTAATTAAAAGTCATATTTTTACTTTTGTCTTTATTATTTTTTAATTTTTTATTTGATTCATTTAATTCTTAAAACGTTATTATTTTTACTTTTTTCACATTATTAAAATATAATTAAATCGTTAAATTTTATTTTGTACGGCATAAGTTTATTAAAATAATTGTAATATATATTATCTCATTTTATTCAATAAAAATATTTTAAAATAAGAATAAAATAATTTTTATAATTATTCAAAAATATGTAATTACTAAATTCCAAAATTTTTATAAAAATTAATGACGTCTATATTTTTTAATTTTTATTTATCGACCAAGTCAATAGCTAATTTTATCAAACATATTTAATTTAATCAACTGATTTTTAAATTAACTTATTCACTAATTTTTTCAAATACACTTATACACCCAAAATATTGAAAATCTAAAACAACAAAACTTAAAACTTAAAACAATAAAACAAAAGAAATAGAGAGAATATCATAGTTAGTTAAAAATAATTATCTTGAATAAAAAATGATATTATTAAAAAATTTAAAAATGACAAATAATTTAAAACAAGTAAAAAATATTTAGATGGTATTTAGTATGACAGAGAGAGCATAAGAAATAATTATTAACTCTTTTTATTTTAATTATAAGAAACAAATATATAATTTTTAGATGAATTATCTACTGTTTTTATACTTTTATTTATTATATGATTTATGTTAACAAGATACTAAATTTTTATTTATATAAATATAAATATAGTAAAATGAGCTACTCGGCCTATTTAAATAATAAATTTTATAAGATTAATTTAAAAAAATTCAAATTTAATTCATACTCATAAAAATGGCACTTATAAAGGTGAAAGTTTTTTTTTTTCAGGTTTAATCTATATCAAACTTATTAAGTTAAAAATATTTAAATTTAATTTAAACTCAAAATTTAAGGTACCTAAGCCTTATATTTTATTAGAAAAATTAGAGTTGACTCGATTGAGCAAACTCTTTTAAATATTTTAAAAATATATTACTAATATATGAATATAACAATATTTTTTATTATTTGTATAAATTAGTTATAAATTTTACCAATGTGTAATTAATAATGTGCAATAAGAACCTATAAATAGTAAAATTTAATTAAAAAATATAATTCATTGATAATATTTAATATTATAATTTTTCAAAAAACATGTTATATGTTATTAAATATATGTTAAAAAATAAATAAATTATTTATTTAACATAAAGAACAATTTTATTAAGAGTTTAACGATCTAACAGTTTTATATTTTTATTAAAAAATAATTTATCATATTATATTTTCTGTTAAAAATGATTTTTTTAATATAAATAATTAATCCTCCTACGTGTAAAATTTATAAAATATTTATGATTACTAAATAAAAATCTTAAATAAATATATTTTTATTTAATACTTATAAAATAATAAAATTTTCTTAAGAAAATATGGCAAAGTTGTTTGGATATTTATTCTCAATTCTAATAAATCCGTAAAAAGAAAATGGGAGGGAATACTAACTTTGTTTTAATATATGTCGTTGACTTTTTTGCTGTAGTTTTGACTGCAGGATGCTAGATTGTGTGGATCCATGCGCGTGGGTGTCTTTTTCGTCTTATCCACGCGCTGTGGCACTCGCTTCTCTCAACCAGCCTCTATCTCTGGCACTGCACAGAGAGAGACAAGAAAAAGCTCTGTTTCTGATTGTTTTCAGCTGTCGAAAACCACGTCGTTTCATGCAAAGTAGCGTTCTTTTGCAGCACCTTTTTGTGCACACTCTCACTTGTTTCCTTCCTCTTGTCTCTTCCCTCCTTCTTCTCTTTCCCGCGTGTCGTTTTTCCAGCTCAAGTGTCGTTTTCTGCTCCACCCTCCATGCCATTGCGTGTTTGTTCAATGATCATGCTGTGTCTTTTGTGGGTGTCGTTTTTGTAGGAGTGTGTTTTTGTCTCTATGTTGCTGAGGCTCCAAAAGTTTTGAATTTGGAGCGAGGTTGAAAAATGCGATTTTAAAAAAAATGAGGTTTGGATAAATGGAGATACATTTTGGGTGCTTCAGTTTGGAGTGAAAAGTTTATCTTTTTTTTTTACTTTGTTTTTGGAGTGTTACTTTGTTGGTGAGTGTTGTAGAAATGAATGATACTAGTGGAAAGGGTTCTTCTTGTTTGGTGTTGACGGAGAAGAAGAAGAATCAAAGTCTTGGTGGTTGCATTGGTATTTTCTTTCAGTTCTTTGGTTGGAACAAAAGACTCACTAAGAAGAGGTTCTTCTCAAAGAAACTTTTGCCTCCTGGTTAGTTTTCTCATGTAACGTAACACATTTGACAGTTATTGCTTGTGTGTGGAAAACTGATGAAAGTGTTTGGTTTTGTTTGTTGATTGTATCAGCTCATGCAAAAGAAGCTTCTTCAAACACGTTTAAAGGAGATGAGAAAATGCCAAATTCTAAGCTTCACTTGGTAAGACTGTGCTAGTTGTGTTGTGTTGTTGGTTTTGGACTCGAGTAATGCTTTTTAGTTATTGGAAAATGCTAACAAGTACGGTACTAGTTAGTGAATAAAAAACAGAAATACTCTAAAAGTGTAAAATATACTTTCATGATTTTTAATGCATCCCAATATGATTTCTAACGAAAACTTACTGATTAGTTGATTTCTTAACCAGTGCCCCTTCGGGCACTAGTTAGTAAGACCCTTAGTTATTCAGTTTTCTTTGAAGTTGAGCTTGAAAATTGTTTCTTTGGACTTATTGTGATTGTTTTTCAATTGTAGATTGCTAGTGAGAACAATGGAGGTTTCCCGAGTGCCAAAAAAGGTGGGAATGGTGGTGTGGAGGCAGAACAGAAGCATGAAAAGACAGTTCCGGGTCTGGTTGCAAGGTTGATGGGTCTAGAATCTATGCCACCTTTACAGCAAGATAAGTCCTTGGAATTTTCATTTTCTGATTCTTGCGGTGATGAACCTAATAATGAAGAGGTGGATTTGGAAATAGTTTTTGCAAATTCAAAAAAGCATGATTCATCAAGACCTCGGAAGATTCAGAAAACGGGAAAGCATGAGAGAAGGATAGTAGTGACGAGGTTTGGATCTGAGGCATTGCAAATTAAGAAAGTTTTGTCACGAGCTAGAAAGTATAACGATCACCGTCAACACAAACTTGTTTCTCCTTTGAAGAGTCCTAGAATAGCTTCTAGAAAGAGCGCATCTCGGCGCTCTAGGCTTATAGGAGCAGCTACTAAGATCCTGGAACCTGGATTGCAGGCCACAAGCAGAGCCAAATGTTCTCTTCCATCTTCCACTTCCATTAATTATAGCATTGTGACAGAAAGGGTAGGAACTAGGCCATTAGATGTGAAATATCAATGTGGTTATGATGACAGCACAGGTAAGTCTTTGATGGGACATGCTTATTGCAGAAGTTGTGGTAATTTGCTTGATGCTGTTGATTACAGGCCTGAGGTTGAGGGACAGCAAGTTGTGTTCACTTCCTCTTTGGAGAAAGCAAAGTCATTTATCCCCTCTCATGAAAATGATGTTGTTCTCTTGAGAAGCAACTCAAGCAAGGAGAAGCTCATAACTCTTGTTAATGAAGATAAAAATAATGTGCAGTATTGTAATGAATCCTCTACCAGAAGAATGTCTTTTCTTGCCGATAGGGATTCATCATGTCAACCATGTGGAACCCTTGATGACAATGACGAGGAGGAGGCATCTTCTTGTTCCTTCAAATGCAAAACTCAAACACAAGTACAGGCATTAAGCCGTGAAAAAATTTCATATGGATCAAGAGTAAGTAATGTGCAAGTGAAGAGAGTATCATCAGCTGCCAGTGCTGTGAGAGGGACTAAAGACTTAGTTACTTTGAATAGAAGCCTAAGTGGTAGAACTAGCATGAGGTCTCCAACCGAAGTGGATAGTTCCAAATTTGATCTAGAGAGAAAACCTCCTAAGAGATATGATTCCTCGTCTCCTGTAAGAACCTTTGAGAGGAAAATGACCCCAAATGTATCACAAGTTGGAGGCACAGCTTCCAGTAATTTGGTTACAGTGAAACAAGGAAATGTTAGTTCTGGTGCAAGGGGAGGTACAATAAGGGGTTTTGATGCTTCCTCTCGAAACAGTTCTAATGCCAAAAGTAAACAAGATGGTCAGCGAAATACATATAAGGTTGATGAAAATAAGGTCAATGAGGTTGTTTCGTTTACCTTTAATTCCCCTTTTAAGCAAAAGATAATAATACCCGGTGAAAAGGGAGACACAAGCAGTGATAATGTCATTACGACTTGTTTCCAAAGACCTCCACCCTTAACATCAGATGCTTTTGGTTCCTTTCTAGAACAGAAGTTGAAGGAATTAAGCACTCAAGAAAATGAGTTGGACACTGATGGTCCATCGAAAAAATCAATTACCATGATTCTTCAAGAACTGTTAACTGTGCTTAATTCAAGGCATCTAACTTGTTCCAATGATCATATATCCAATGACAAGGTTGGTTTCATGCCATTTTCTCCTTTTATGTTGTCTAATTGGAGTTTAGTTTCTTCTTTGATCCTTTTGCTTTCGCTATCAGTTATGTTTTCAGTAAGGGTAGGTAATATCTAGTTCCTGATTTTCATTGTAGTCGTTGATGTTTAACTGTCTTACTATACAATGCAAAAGCATAATACTTAGAATCTGAAGTTGCTGTTTTTAAATGTTTCTGAGTGTGAATTACAAATAAGAGTTTGACAACATTGTGTCAATAGCAATGGCAACTTTTTGTAGAAAAAGGGGGGTGGGTATACCCTTTTTACATGTTTGCAACCAATTGTCATCTGGCATAATTTTTCTCACTGCCTTATTTATCGTTTTTAGACTTCACCCTCTTGTTTTTATTAAATCATTTCATTTTAGTCCGACAAATCACATGTTTGGGTACGAAATAATTGTATTTCTAGTTCTAATAAAAAACATACCAAGTGTCACAATTGCCAATATGTTAACCTCATTAGAGAAACCTTGAAAATAGATCTTACTCTAATAAATGGATTTATTGAAATAGTTTGATCCATTAGCCTACTCTACTTAGTGGGATAAGGCATCAACTTTGAGCTTGGCCCCAAGATCACTTCCTCTTATTGGTTGCTGAAAAGACAGGCTACACTTTTTCTTTAAAGGACCTTGTTAATATATTAAAATATTTATTTCTAGAAGACTAAAGGTTGAAGTTGATGATGGGGAGAGGACAATTTAACTGTCAAATAATTTGGAATAGTCCAATCAGTTTTGAAGTTATGATCAAATGTCATATTTTCAACACTTTTGCACAAAGAGGTAGTTAGAAAAACACTTTCTGAGAAATCTCCACTTTTGCACAGAAATTTACTTTATTTCCTGCATCCAGCATTCACCTTGACAGAATTTAAAATCCCAACCGTAACAGATTTTTGGCATGACATTTATAATTACCATTTTCATTTTAGTTTATAATTTTGCTCAACTACCACATATATAATTAGCGTGTTGGATGAGGAAAATTAACAAAAACCAAAGATGTTATTTCATTACTTTCTAATACACTTGGTGCCACTTTATGTGTAATTGGTGTCTTAGGCGTTCAATCTCAACATTTTGGGAGTGTAGACTTACTGTCATTAAAACCTTTGTAAAATAAAACATTTCCTGAAGCCAATGGACTTGTACCCATCTGAGCTTTGGTAATTTTGAGTTTAAGCTTGATCTCTCTGTTCACTCTGATATTTTATTAACATAAGTAGTACTGTGATTAGTGGATATCTGTATTTTGATACTTATACCTGACATTATCTTTTGTTTCTACTGATTACAGTATAGGGAAAATCATGGAATGTTATTAGGAACCTCTTGCAGTGATAATCATCTCAGTCCTGGATCAGTTCTTGAAGCTTCCTTTTCTTCCAGTAGTCTGGATGAAAGCTCAGGTAATGGAATTGATAAGATATGATTTCTAACTTTCATTTATATAATCCCTCTGGCTTTTTTAGCCATGTTTAATTCCTCTCGTTGATTTTGATCCTTGACATAATTCCAGGGCACGGTTTTCACCTTCACTACTATATGAATTGCTCATACGATCAACTGGAACAGTTGGAACATGATATTGAACTTTTAGATTCTGCAACTTCATTCAACAAAGGGAAGAAAGGTTATGAGATACTGACTGAACTTATCAACCAAGTCCCTAGGATATTGCAAAGTTTAAATTCTTTTAGGATAGGATTGACAGAAAGCAAGCTTACCCATGTGAAAGATGTTATCCTCAATACTGAATTGGTTCTTGGAAATGCTATTGAGCACAGTGAGGATGAAGTGCCTCAACTTCTCATTTCTTACTTTCTTCTGGATGAACTAGACACCATGCCAAGTAATGCTATGTGGACAGATCTTAATGGATATGTGGGTTGTGAGGAATCTAAAGAGGGAAACCAACTTAAGGCATTTGTATTTGATTGTGTAATAGAATTTCTAGAATCAAATTGCTGCCAATATTATCACAGTGTATTCAAGGCAAAGTCTGCATGGATAAAGTTGCCTTTATGCATGAAAGCCAAGATGTTGGTTCAAGAGTTCAAGAATGAGATTAAGAAGTGGGCATGCGTAGCTGGGCTGATACCAGATGAAATAATAGAATGGGAGATGAGTCACTCCTTAGGGAAATGGACTGATTTTAATATTGAAGCATTTGAGGCTGGTGTTGATATAGATGGGGATGTTCTCCAAGTTTTGGTTGATGAAATTGTTCAAGACCTTTTAGATTTCAGCCAGTGAACCATTTGAATATATCTAGTTCATGGTACTAAAATTCTTCTAAGCTGGTCATGCAACATATCACCAGTAATTTCTCTTATCTTTTGTTTTGATCCAAGAATCATTGTATACGTTGTTGTACAAATAGATTAATGGTATTTTTAATGGGGCCTCTGGAGATCATCTGGATAACTGAATAGATAGCATCCAAGTATGATGGTCTTTATTATTAATTTTTTGCATGTGTAATTTGGCCAAAATTCTCACCAATATTATTAGTGCTTTAATTATAAACTTGAGCTGATGATTAACAGGTTGAAACCTCTTTTGTTTCAACATATTCAGTTAACAATTGAAGCAAACATTGAAGAAAAATAAACAAAAACAACTGATATTAAAAATTTCTCAAGCACAACAGAAAGAAAAGAAAATATTCCACTAAAATCTTCAAAGCTAGAAGTTGATAATGACATATTGAAGAGGAACAATATAAACGATCACCAGACGGGGACTATTTTGGCCTTTGACAAAAGTCATTTCCACTTAAAGAAGTTAAAACTATGTATTTCCAATTATAGTATTACAGTGATAAACACTTACATCATCATAACTTTACATTATCCTGTAAGTTCTTCAAAAGGAAAAAAAAATCAAATAGAATGAATGAAAAACAAAAAAGGAAATAAATAGCAGAACCATCATCACACCCTCCCAAAGCAACAAATTCAACCAACAATGAACAAATCCAAATTTGAGGAACCAATATCTCCACACCACCCACTTTCAAAACAATCTGTGATGCCCTGAAACTGTCTTCCCTAACACTCTGTTGCTCCTTCCTCCTCCTCCTCTTCTACCTTCACCATTGATGGCAATGGCTGTAGCAGAAGAAAAACTCTTAAGCTCATCAATGCAAGCATAGCTCTTCCTTGCCATCAGAACACCTCCACCACCCTTCTTCTTCTCACCTCCACTAGCTGACTTGCTCCCTCTTGAACTCAACAACAACCCATTTCCACTCTTGCTTGGTGGGGGTGTCATCTCCATCCTTGAAGGCAAATTGCTCACAGGCTTCTTATTCTCTTTCCTCAAAGCAGCAGAAAAATCAGGCACAGAGTGAGCAACAAAGAACCCTTTTGAGTTTCCTTCACAAGCTTGAAACTCTACCTGTTTTTTCCTTGGAGGGGTGGTGGCAAGTTTTGTTGGTTCCAGTTCTTGAGGCACTTGTTGTTTTTCTTGCATCAAACACTTCATATGCAACCTTGTTTCTCTCAGCTCAGCATATGCAGTGTAATTAGGACCTCTCTCCATGATGAAGTTGTATGCAGAGGTTAGCCTTAGAGGGAAAGGTTGGTCTGAATGAGAATTCTGGTTGAGGATCAGAGATACGGGGTCAAGGGCATGCAAGAGTGGCTCAATAATGGGGTTTGGTTCATGGGTTTGTGGCAGTGAGATGCTACTGTTTGTGTCAGCCATGATTGATGATGATAGGGAATGTTGGAAGAACTTGAGCGTCTTTTGTCAGTGTCTTTTGTTTCTCTTTTGTCACTGCGGTTGATTGAGTTAACACTTAAACATTGATTTTGGTAGCTTCTTGGGATTCTTTCACTTTTTGTAAATGCAGAACTTTGACAAAGTGAAAAAGATTTGGTTTTGCAACGGTCTAGTGGGAGTGGGTGACAGAGAGAGAAGAAAGAAAAGCAACCTTTTCAATTTTCATTGTTTTTGTTAAACCTTATGAGAGGTTTCTAACGTTTGGGTTGGTTAGGAGTGGGCCTTGTTGGAGAACATAATATAACACCTCTGTGCATTTTGGATATTGTGATTAGGGAGGTTTTCAAGTCAATTTTTAATTAAATTAATCAATTAAAACGATTCTTTTAACATGTGTCATAATAAATAACAAATTTTAATTAGAAAAGATAGTACTTAATATTATTAATATATTAAACTTTGATACCATATAATTTTAAATAAAAATATTACATATGTTATCATACACAAAAAATCATAGATTAAAATTTTGTTTCATTAGAGGTGACATTTACAATGAAGTAGTGATCCAAATGGTGCATATATGAGTCAGTAAAGCGACCAACATTGAAGGTTTCTGCAATATTTTTTTAGTCATTGCCAATTAGTCCATAAAATATTTTAGCTTACTTTGACAGGTTTGAGTGCTACACTCATTGTTTATGGAGATAAAATGTACTACACTCATTGTTATTATAAAACTAGCATTTAGCTTTGATAGGGAATGTAAAGGAAGTGTGTTTCAATTTGAAAAAAACTAAGATGCAGTGTTGCATGTCCTCTTATACTGTTTAGAATTAGAGTTTCTCGGTAATATATACTAGTATTAAAATTAATACATGTTATTAAAGTGAAACTTCAACTTTCATAAAAGAACAACATTAATTAAACTTATGATACCATATATAAATTTTGTTTTTTAAATTTATATTGGAAGACTTATAAATGTGAATCTAATCATAAATTACAACTAATAATATTAAAACAAATATTAATTTATAAATATTTAAATGTGAATTCAAACATTCTAAAAATGAATTTCCTTGATATATTTTACGCTTTTTCGATTAGATTCGTGTATATCTAATCTTAAAAATCCCACTAGGATCTTGGGTTTAAGAAAAGTAAGTTTACTGATAAAGCAACTGAATTTAAGTCTATATAAAATTCACATGAAATATTATATAATAAGGAACGGAACCTGTTACTTTTGTAAGGTTAATGATGCAGTTTTTTCAATTATATTCTAGTGATTAGTTTCATTAAAAATTTACTATTAAGGTTAAAAATTAGCCATCTAGTTAAACCCAAACTAAAAAGAGAATCCAATAATTTTCAACAATAAAAATATGCTAAATATAAAAAACAAAACCACAATCTTTAAGAATATGCATAAAAGGATTATTGTAGCACTCAACAGTTTTTTTCTTCTCTTTCTTTCTCTTTCAATTGAAATTCAAAAAATGTATCACTCTATTAGTGATTATCAAAATAAAATAGGAAGGAATTAGTAAGTTAACGAAAAATTAAAGGTTAATCTTTCTTTCTATAGATGACAAAATTAATGGAACATTAACCACAAAAATCAATGGTAGAAAAAGATAATGAATAAAAGTCATCCACTCAACAATATTATTTATAAATTATAAATTATTAAAAATTATAGCAAAAATAATAGTTATATTAAATAGTATTTGTGTAATTTTTCATAAAAAATGTTTTATAATTATGTATGATAAAATAAAAATAACTTAAAATAATATAATTTATGGTTATAAATAATTATGTTGGAACACAACAATATATATATATATATATATATATATATATAAACAAAAATAAAATAAATTGATCATCATTGAATGATATATTTCTCTTAAGATGGAAACAAAAATATAAAAATAAATAAATTTATAGAAAATTACCAACTTGTCAGAATTAACATGATTGTAAAATATAAAAATAAAATAAAATAATAATAATAATAAAAAAAACTTTGAAAAGTTTTTAAAGTTGTGTAAAAATTATTTGCATAAGTGAAGATGAAATTATCTTTATAACTAATTTAAAACCTATTTAGTGATATAATGAAAGATGGAGAATTAATTTAATAAAGTTTCTAATTTTTTAATACCTATTTAGTGATATAACTAGTGATGTTTAAATTTGGAATTTAGGCTTATTTTAATATTTAACCACATTGAAAATTAATTAATTTACTAATTATTGAATTTGATTAACTAATGATCACATATTTTAAATAAAAATATTTAATAATATACACAATAAGATTTTTGTAAGTGTATATACTAATTGTTACATATATTATTTTTTTAATTTTTTTGTAAACATATTTTTATTAGTCAAGATATTAAATTAATTAATAAATTTAGTTAAAGAAAAAATTAAGGTGATTAGTGCTTTTTTTAAAAAAAATTTAACATTCTATGCTTAGCTTTTTTTTAGTTTTATATTCAATCAATTTTAATAGTTTTTTATTAAATAAAATTCATGACCAATAATTTATTATTTTTAATATTCTATCATCACTAACGTAAAACTTTTATATATGATCAGTTCTCATCAATTTTTTTAAAATACAATCTATAAATAACATATTTTTTCGATTTTAAGATTCCATGTCACATAGTTTACAAAAATTATATCTAATCAAATTTTTACTTATTTTCTTATGAATTTTAATAATTATAAATTAATTATAACGTAAGTTTATATATAATATGGTTATTTCAATATACCTATCAATATATAAAATATTAAATGATGAGTTTTAGTGAATTTTATATAGATATATTTGTTCAAAATAATTTTGTAAAAGAAATAAAAAATTATAAATAAAAGTAAAAGTTAAAAAATTAAACTATCATTTAATTTATCATTTATATGTAATATATAATTATTTGATTTAATTTATCATATAGTTAATATAATTTTTTATGTTATATTAATGTTACAGTATTATTAATTTTACATATAAATTGGTTAAAAAATTCTCAAAAAAATATTTAAAAATTATAAATAGAAAATAAAAATAAAAATAATATTTTTTTAATCAATTTATATGTTAAAATTACAGCAACTAATATTTAAAGCTTCAAATGTATTTAAAATTATATATAGTTTCTTAATTATTTGTAAGTGAGTTCTATTAAAAGTTTTTTCTTAAGGCAAAATGAACATAAAATGGGCAAAAGAAAAATGAGAAAATAAACCCTTAATTCAGAACTTGATCTTCTGCAAAATAATATTATCCAGAGCATTTAAAAAACAGGTATCTGTTGAATTGTGATCTGGATACCATCTCCATGCCACTGCTAGTGACTATCTGCTACTGTTGATTCTTATTTGGTTTAAATATATCTATATTTTGATATATTTTAAGTTTTATTATTCTTATATTTTTGTTATTTTAAAATTGTTTTTTATCAATGTAATTTCATAAAAAATCAATAGATTTCTTAATTATTATATTATCATTTGAGATTTATCTAGAATAAAAGTAATGAATTTTTAAAAAATAGAGATTAAATAAAAAATTGAAGGAACTAAAATAAAATAATTGCATAAAGATAAAAATATATTTAAGTTTTTTTTACTTAATTGTATTTTTTTTTTCATTTTTCTTTAGACCAGCAGTGTCTTCCATTGAAGATAATTATATTCAAGTCAGATAGGATTACTAAGGGCAAAAAAATTCTTCCTCTAAGTATTAAATACTCTGCATTTATTAGAATTCAAATTTAAAACCACAGATTAAACTAGAATAATTCTTACTAGTAAATTTATGTGTAATATATTTTTATTTTATTTTTATAATTAATGAATGAATTTGATTTATTATTATCATTTTAACATTTAATCTTGTAATTGTTTAATTATTATAATTGTGTCTTGTCATCACTTTTTTTTACATAAATTTTAAAACTATTATTATTATTTATTTAAGTAATTCAAATTTTAAAAAAATTAAATTGAGATATAAACATTTTCAAAATGTCTAAAAAGTAATTTTTTTAAAAAAATTGATGGACACAATTATTATAATTTACTATTTCTAAAAAATTCTTTATATTAAAAAATATAATCATAAAAATTCTACATTATTTGTTATTATTTTTTCTTAAATATTATATGAATAAATTTTGAATGGTTTAATGTTTATATTCTTTCAATTCATACATTTATTTTTATTTAATATTTTCTTTAAAAAAATAATAATATTTTAAATAAATATATATCATTACTCATTAAAAAATATATAAGTCATATTCCTTTTAAAAAGCATACATCTTAAAATAAAATAAAATATAATTGAATTATTTTATAGTTTACACTAATTTTTAATAAGGACAAAATGTATGAAAATATCAAAATGTTGATAGAGAAAAGTGTGGATAACTATTGTCTATTGTAATGTGGGGTGGGTGGGACCAGTCCACGTCAGAAACGACATTAGCCAGCAGCACCAACGGCATCACCAACGCAACCTCCTTCCATAATCTAATCCTAAATTCCCACGTGAGAGTTTTTTCTTCTTTTTTCCCTCAATTTTCTCAAAACCCCATTTTTGGTTCTCCATTTCTCAGTTTCTTCTCTTGCCATGCAGCAACCATAGCAATGACAACAAAACTTTTCATTTATACATAAAAATATATAATAAAAATTATACATAATAATTTTTTTTATTTTCAAATACATATTTAAAGACATATAATTATAATTTATGAATCATAAATTTTTATCAATATAACAATATAATGCTTTAATGATATTAAATTTTATAATTTTTAATAAATTTTTTTTATTAATTTCTTATCACGTATCTTTAAATTTATATTTAAAATATTGATAAATTTTATTAAAGAATTCAAAATTTAATGTATTGATATTATATAATATTATAGTTTTTAATAAAATCATTATTTATTCTTTATTACTTTTTTTGTACAGATTAAAAAACAAAAATATTAAAATTTACATTTGAAATATGTTAAAAACTATTATTATAATACATTAATAATATTTTTAATTCTTGAAAACATTGTTGAACATTTGGTTAATAAAGAACACCCCAAAGAATAAAAAATATAATTCATTTTTTTTTTCAGTAAGCTCATCTTTGTTGGGTTTCACTTAGTGCGGTCCATTCGAAGCCTCTTCCCCTCATCACAAAAAAACGTAGTAACATAGAAAAAGGGCGAATCCCGATGCAAAAGAAAGTTGCATTTTCTATTCAGTGAGAGCGTCAACACTTAAAAAGTACAAAAATTTCATCACCCTTTTCAGTTGTACGGTAATCCATCTGTTACTTCCCTTTCATCCACACTTCAATCTTGTTTTTGACACTCTCTTCAATTCACTTGCATAAATTATTCCATTCTAATTGGTATTTTTCAACATATTTTGTACATATATGTTTTATTTTAAAAAAATATTGAATTTCTGGGTATGGGAATTTTCTCTCAGATAACATGCACGCATCAACTTTTGGTGTTGAAGGTGCCACCTTTGGGATCACAAGGCAAAAGGGGTTGGTGGGTTTTAGAGAGTTCAGAAATGGGAGTGTTCTGAGACCCAGAAGAGTGTGCACGACCAATAGTACTAATTTCTGCGGTTTAAGGCTTGGTTCTGTCACTATGGTAACCGAGTTAACTAGAACAAGAGTTGGTTTTGGTGGCAATGTCGGCTCCTCCACTAAGCCCAGATCAATAAGGGTTCATGCTTCAGGTTTGTATGCTGGTGGTGGTGGCTTTGATTTGTTCAGTTTGTTAGCTGTTTTGAAATCTTGTCGACTTCATTTGCCAATGATGTGTAATGTGCTTGATGATGATGTCATGTTTGATTTTCTTAGTAAGATTGCTTATTTGATATTTGATTTTGTTGTTGTTGAACTGCATTGATGTTTTCTAGTAAGGCTCTCTGCTTGTCTGTGCTTTTGCTATTCTTGTTTTTGTCGTTGGTTTGAGTCTATTGCTTAATTTCCCCGACATGAAATTCTGTGATTGGTTTTAGGAGAATGCAGATCACAGTAAATGCTGCAAGGACGTGTCACCTGATCATGGTTTTGTAATCCATGCATGAATGGTTAATTTTGACATGGTTGCAAAATTTACAATAGTTTGGCAATTCAGTTTTTATGGATAGTGTTCTTTTGCAAATTAAGAGTCTTCCACATAATTCATCTTTTATAATTGCCTACTGTTAGTCGGTGGCTCTTCTTTCCACATCCAGAACATGTTATGGCATTAATAAGTTTATGTCCTGTAATTGCAATGCACTGATTCTGAAAACACTGCTTTTAGTGCTGGAGCTTGCCTTTTTTAAGTCTTAATATTTGTGAATTCTCTGAGCAGGTTCTTTCAGTTTTGTCTGTGTAAATCTTCTTGTTAGAATATTACAATTCATGATTCTAATTGTATGATGTGATGAATTGCTGAAGACTTTGAATCTTGCAATAAGTGAATAAATTAGTGCAATTCCATATCACGAATACAAATCACACAATTTAGCAATTCATAATTTTTTTCTTTTTACTTTTCTTTCTTCAATTTTCATGAAAGAAATTGAAAAGTTGGATAAGCCAACATTGTTCAAAGAACAGCAAATGAAGGAGCACCGCTGAATGCACCCTATTTGATTATTTGGCTGCTTCGTTTCCATATCTGTTGTATGCACTTTATCTGGCTGTTCAAATTGCTCTGTTTTTAGTTTTTTGAAATAGAGGCTTCACACACACGTGTCTTTTGTTCTGAGACTTATGGTTAAGTTGTTTTATCAATTTATAGCTTAAATTATTACATTGAGCACTATACAATATACATAATTTATATGTTTCAAGATATTTTCACTGTCTTTTAATCTCAGGATTTCATTTGATTTCTGGTTCACAATTCAAAAATTAGCTTGGTGATTCAGATTTGTATATCAGTTTAACTTTCTTGTTGTTTCGTATATAAACGTTCTTACAAACATATTCATAGCAATTAAAATTGAGTTGCAGATGGAGACATTGAGGATGCCGTCCCAACTATTCCTCAGGGCAAATCTTCTGGAACTGTTCTACCCTATGTTGGTGTTGCTTGCCTCGGAGCCATTTTATTTGGCTACCATCTTGGGTATGGATAGCCTCTTCATTTTAGTATGTGGGTTAATAGGCTTCAACACAGCATGTCATTTTCTTTGTGCTTCCATCTAAGCTATAAAAATGATGAGTCAGTAGTTAATGTCTTTAAGTTTTTTGGCTGCTAGATGTGTATAATCTTTTTTTGTAGAACTGTTACTATTTTTCATTGACTAATATCTGTGTTGAATAACTCTCTGGCTACGCCCTGTTTGGTGTAGGGTGGTAAATGGTGCTCTTGAATACCTTGCTAAGGATCTTGGAATTGCTGAAAACACTGTTCTACAAGGTAGATGTTTTGTTTAAAAAAAAATAAAAATTTCATTAATTCATTTAACAATTTTGATTGATTTTATAGCAATGAATATTGTAGATATATGACAATATTGTTTTTTGTTTTATACCCATAGAGGGCAATTTTTCAGTATGTATGTGTTTCAATGTTAATTGTACTGCTACATAAGCAACAAACTGTTTGAGCTTTTTGGAAGAATGTTTTAAATGAAATTTATTACTACTTTTATTCATGTGAATCTTTGTCTCTGTTCACTTGCATATGCCCCATCAATTGTTTTCTCTTGATTATCATGAGTGTGAAATCCATGAACAGGTTGGATTGTCAGCACATCACTTGCTGGTGCCACTGTTGGTTCACTTACTGGTGGAGCATTGGCTGACAAATTTGGAAGAACTAGGACTTTTCAATTAGATGCAATCCCTCTAGCAATTGGAGCATTTCTTTGGTCTGTCAGCTGTTTTTGAGGACAAATTTGATCTTTTATATATTTTTGAAATATGACATTGTAAACTATGATATCTTTACAGTGCTACAGCCCAGAGTGTTCAGACAATGATCATTGGTCGCTTACTTGCTGGTATAGGAATTGGTGTTACATCTGCTATAGTACCACTATACATATCTGAGGTACTTTTTATTTATAAATTATTCTTATCTTTATGACCATGATTACATTTTTTATATGGACTTTGCGGTGACTCCTTCTAATGGGCAGATTTCACCCACTGAAATTCGTGGTGCACTTGGATCTGTTAATCAACTTTTTATATGTATTGGAATTCTTCTGGCACTGGTGGCTGGGCTGCCTCTGGCAGGAAACCCTCTATGGTACTGAGTTTTTTCACCTTAGGCCTCTTCTTTTCTTTTCTTTTTTAAGGATAGGGGTGAGGCGGGTGATGATATTTTTCACATAACCTCTTTTTGAGCTGTTTATTTTATGCTGATTAATGTCATCCAGAGATGGTAAAATATTAGAAGAAAGTGGAGATATTTTTCTTTATATTAACTTCGTGAGTGAGAAATAAATGAAGTGAGAGATGAAAACATGTTCTTGGAAGCAAAAGAGTGATATCAAAATTAGAAATATGACATGTCCCATCATTGGTTGAGTGTTTTATTCTTCTCATCATTGTTGACACAAATGAACAAGAAAATTTAGTTTTGAACTTGTGCTGTTGGATAAAAATGCAGTTGCAAATTCATACTTTGGATATTTAAATTCTCCAACTATGGTGAAGGATAAGTTGAAGTATTCAGCTAGCAATATGCATATTTGATGTACACAAAATGATATTAAATCCATTTAGTTTTTTACCTTAAGCCTTATTTTTGTCAATATTTGAAATTGATATTTTTATTCCCACATTATAGAAGTCATACCTTTTTTTAACAGCCAATATGACTGGATTCACAGGAAGGTTTTACTGCTCTGCACATTTATCTTTTCTTTTTTGAAAGTATTTTTTCCTGGCTGATTTGACTGTGTTAGTTTCAAGTGCATATTCAAACTTTTATTTCATGTATTCGTGGTTTTGAGTTTATTTTTTTCTTGGGGGATCTAGAAACATTTGTTAGTCAGTTCTACTTCTTCTAACTCATTTAATCTTTTGATTTATTTTATCAGGTGGAGGACAATGTTTGGCATTGCAGTAGTTCCATCTATTCTGTTAGTACTAGGAATGGGAATTTCTCCAGAAAGTCCCCGTTGGCTTTTTCAGGTTTTCCTGCAATTCTGTGGCATCTTTTGTTGTGGAAATAATAGGTTCATATGAAAATTAAACTACTGGAAAAAAATTACTTTTAGCACATTAATGGCTTTTTCATCAAATATTTGTATCACAAAGCTCACCATTAGACTTTTCAATATGGTGTCAACCCAGCAAATAAAACTATGAGCTTATTTAAAGACTGGGAAGTATAGCACATTAAAGCACAAATTATATTATGTTTTAAATATACTTGAGATGCTAACAATTTCCTTAAAAGAGTCATAACACTTTCATTTTGTTATATTATTCAACCTAACATTCACATTATTCATAGATTACGTGTCTGTTATGCATATCTGTTAAGACTTAAGATATAATTAAGATATTATCAATTTCCTTAAATACTTAAAATGGATTAAATTGTAAGTGATGATACTTATATTTTGTTTATAATCTAACAGAACATACATAGATGACATGCCTTTTATGTATATCTGTTAGGAGTTTAATGCAATAATTTTATTGTAGGTTTTCTGAGAAAATTCCATGTATTATTTTACAGCAAGGAAAAATCTCTGAAGCTGAAAAGGCTATTAAAACACTCTATGGAAAAGAAAGAGTTGCTGCGGTTATGCATGACTTAACAACAGCAAGTCAAGGTTCTTCTGAACCTGAAGCAGGGTGGTTTGATCTGTTTAGTAGCCGATATTGGAAAGGTATCCAAAATCTCATTTTAGACTAATTCTAGGTTTGATAACACTATGGACAGAAATTCCTTTTGCTGATGGTGCTAACCTGCCTCTTTTGAAGGTTTTAAGGGTGTTTGTGTATACAAGGTCCAATGTAAAAACTACAAAAATTTATGTTTATAATAATTTTATTTTGATGACGATTATGCAAATAAATTCTCTTGTTTCAACTTAAACCCAATGGACTGGTCGGATTTGATTACCAATAAATTTCCTTTAATGTTTGATTCATTCATGCCTCTATTTTAACCTGGTATACTTGTATGAAGAATTATTATTTAATGATAATCTTATCAGGGTTTATGTTTTAATATCACCGACCAATTTTTTTTTAGTTTATTATATAGTTGATTAATGCATTCTTGAAAGAGTATAGCACTTCCTTAAAATATGCATTATTGCAGTTGTCAGTGTTGGGGCAGCACTATTCTTGTTCCAGCAGTTTGCTGGAATAAATGCTGTAGTATATTATTCAACTTCTGTGTTCCGTAGTGCTGGAATTGCTTCTGACATTGCAGCAAGTGCCTTGGTTGGTGCATCAAATGTTTTTGGTTAGTATTTTTTTATCTTAAAATTGTTTATTGTGCAGTCAATAAAAAAGGTCATTGTGCATGTTGCACAAACAAGATATTATTTCTTATTGATGTTTTATTTTGTTGCAGGAACTGCTGTTGCTTCCACCTTGATGGACAAACAAGGAAGGAAAAGTCTCCTTATCACAAGCTTTAGTGGGATGGTAATAGTTATTTTCAGCATACATCTGTGTTAGATCTAAAGCACAAATGTAAGATATTACATGATAGATTAATGATGTGCCACCTGAAACATCACAAGCTTAAATGTGAACTATTGATTTTTGTGAGCCCAATGCTTTGCCAAGCTAAGGTTGTCCAAAGCAAAAGAAATATATCTTGCACTACTTAAGCAACATAATGAATGGTTTATGTGACCATATATACTTGTGCACTTCAAAAGTAATTTTGGACACAAGCATTTTGATAAGTTAGAAACTACCTCCTTTCAGCCTTCAACCCAGCTACAATACTTGAAAGGTCTACATGGCAACATATGAGTACAAGCAGTGCTGACTTTATCAGTTTTACATTAATTAGTAATGCTGCATAGAAACAAATGTATTAATCCTACTTGAGGATGCTGATTTTCTTTTTCTGACATGAATATCACTTCCTTGTCCTCCGTACTACTTTTGTAATTGTAACTTCAGCCTTTATTGATCTGTGTGGTGATTGGTTGCAATAAGCAAATATCATTTCTTCTCAAGCTGGTAAGTGGTAAGGATATGATTCTATAAGGTTTTGTTACTTACAAGGGGGAGTCAGGAGATTCGAATGCCAGTTAGACATGGTGCTTTGTAAAAGTTTATACCCTTGTCTGGGTGGTACTTGGGAATGGAAGGGTTTGTAGATGATGCTACACCTTATTTTAAAATGGGAAACATAAAAGTGAGGCAATACAATACAAGTTTGAGAAGTCTACCCAGGTGATTGAAGTCTATCTTTTCCACTTCTCTTGCTCCCCCATTCTCATGGGTAAATATTTTATTCCATTCTCAAAGAAACTAAGGAAAGGCTAATTTTTTTCAAGCATTATGATATTTGATTTTGTTTCAAGCTTACATGTCAGAAGCATGATTAGGCCCGTAAGTATAGATCTTCTTAGTCTTTAGTGAGTTGCTTAAACAAACTCAAATAATTTTATTAATAATTCAAACTAATTTTAAGCCCTGGCCTCCTAGATGAGATGATGTCTTTGTATTTATGTTTCTGTTTGATGCAATCAAACTAAATCTTCATACCAGCAAGTTATTTATTTTTCTTGTGCAATTTGAATCCTGTGTTTTCTTATTTGGATAGTTGACAGTCATTTCTTTATACTAGGCTGCTTCTATGTTGCTTCTTTCTCTGTCTTTTACTTGGAAGGTCCTTGCACCGTACTCTGGCACCCTTGCTGTCCTTGGAACTGTTCTGTAAGTCATTGTTTTTTGTCCAAAATAATGATAGCAATTCCATTCACTGACACCTTACGGCATTCTTTTATTATACGCTTTGCATTTCTTTTGACTCTGATCTATTTATTTTAACCAGCTATGTCCTATCCTTCTCTCTTGGTGCTGGTCCTGTGCCAGCCCTTCTTCTACCGGAAATATTTGCTTCAAGAATTAGAGCAAAAGCAGTTTCTTTGTCATTAGGCACGCATTGGGTGAGTGACTTCACCATGGAATCTAATATTTTACCTGTAACTAATGCCCTTATCCTGCCATGATTTTTAAAACTATGCTTCTTAGAGGCTAAAACAAACAATAATTTTTGTACCTTGTATGAATAGTTGCTTGTGAGCTGGCAAAATACTTGACTTGCTGTTCTTAAAGTCAAATTAAAGAAAAAAAAAAGTACCTTGAGTTGCCACACCAAACGCATCCACACAGTTGTGCAACTTGTGCTTTCTGTGAATATTGATTTTCTAAATACTATAGTTGAAGAAACATTCCTAACAAATTAGGTTCACTAGGAATGCTTCAGAAGTTCCTTGGATCTTATTGGTATGATTTATGATGCACTTAAGTTTTATTGCTATAGTGGTTTTATTGGTTGCCTGCATATTATATTAACAATGAAAGTTATGGATTTTTTTGTTGTAACAGATCTCCAACTTTGCCATCGGCCTCTATTTCTTGAGTGTTGTAAACAAGTTTGGTATCAGCTCAGTATACTTGGGATTCTCAGCTGTTTGTGTCCTTGCTGTTATGTACATAGCTGGCAATGTTGTGGAAACAAAGGGTCGATCATTGGAGGAAATAGAACGCGCTCTTAGTCCTGCAACATGAAAATCTTCCAGAAAATGCTTGTGGTCATAAATCCTACGCTACTCAAAGCATTGTTTTTCTTTTTTACTCTTGCTACTTATTTATTCTACACATCTGTCTTGCAAGAGTATAGCCAGGGCTAGCTTTTCATTGTGACCAAATTTTGTTCAAGTGCAAATATGGGAACAATAATGTGAGCTTTGGCCAAGCATCTTCAACAATTCAGTACTATCTTTATAAACTGACAGTTTCTGTCACAATGTATGGTAGGCGCAAGCAAGAACATTATCACTTCAAATGTCAGACTGAATAACTTGCAGTGACCTTCCTTTGATGTAATAAACAAGTAATGTTGACACTAATTGTATGCTTCTGAGTTTCTGGAAGAAATAAATAATAATTTTGGATTTGTATAGCGAAAGTAATAGATGAATGGTAAAAACATGTTGGAATCAAGTGTAAATTAGTCCTACATAGAATGGGATATGGGCAAGTTAGGGGTCTTTAAGGAGAAAGACCTATGCACGCATTGCCTTAAAGTTTTTGAGCTGTATTGTGGTGTCTTACTCATTATGAGGCTCCCTATCCCAAGGCACCCATGGTCAATGTGAGAGTGCACCGTAGAGGAAATAGTGACACTAGATGAGCTCTAGCAGAAAGCTAATGGCACCCATGTGGAAGAGAGCAAGGGTAGTGTGAAAGTGTACCGTAAAGGAAACTGTGACACTAGATGAGTAGACCATGGATACTCGGAAAGTGTTGAGTCTCACATGGAATGGGATATGGGCAAGTTAAGGGGGATGCATGGTCCATTTACTCGTCTGAGCCAATCACCTAGATTGACCTAGTTCTTATACCATTGTTGGGTAAGAGAGTTTTTAGATAGGGAACCTCACAATTAATAGAACACAACAATGTAACTCCAAAACCTTAGGACAATGGGTGCATGGGTTCATCTCTTTGTAAACTCTTAACTAGTCCATATCCTATGTGGAACTCAACAAAGCATATAGATGAAACTTTGAAGGTGAAGAGAAGGTGACATTGTAGAAGTGTTTATCCTGCCTATACATTTGTTGGATATGCAAGGGAATTAGATGCATCATGATGCACATAACTTTTTGTTTGGGTTACAAAAAAACTAGTACAATAATGTCACTAACATTTAGCTATTAAGATGTTTATAATCTATTTTTTCTTCCGTTTTTTTTTTTTTACCCTTTTAGAATATCATCAGGTCTTTAGACCATTAGTGTGATAAGAACTATACTCCGACATAAAATGCAGTCACTTTGTAGACAGTTGTGACTCCAAAAAGTCTCAGTTATATGGTGTGTTATATAAGAACATAATCTTGACAATAAACTGTCAATACAGTCACGTAATAATTGGACAGGTGATAAATGATCAGCAAAGTCCAGAAAAGGATGGTGTGCTGTTTAAACATACAGAAATGCTTTTTGAATAATTTTGGGAAATTATTTTAGCCGTTCCTTTTACTTTTTGGGTGTATTTTTAAGATGCGTTTATATAAGAAAAAAAAACATAAGTGAAGAAAGAAATAATTTTATATAGTGTTTCATATGATATTCATTTTAAGTTTAAATATCAGAATGGTTAAACTTAATACCATGCAACATTCTGACAATGATTCGTTCAAACTTTTTTCACTCAACTTGAAACTTGTACAATCTCCAGCTTGGGGAATGAACGGAGAGAAAATTGGAGATAAAAAAGAAATTAAACAGGAACCTTATAACAAAAATTCCAAGTTATCTTTTGTAGTATAAAGATCAAATAACTTGTCTGACGGATACATTGTTGACAATACTACAAATATTGTAAAATAAAGCTCTTTGTAATGTAATTAGATCATTATCTACCAACTTTACTAGCTATAAAAACCAAGACAGAGTTACTGATAACCATGATGTTACATGTCAATTTAAGCCCCAAAACATGAATAACAGATGTTCCCTTAGCATGTAGTACTACATGTGCAAGTGCAACACACTAACTTGAGCATTTGCAGGGTTATCCTACCTCAAACAATACCCAATTTCATAATAATTTTGATCAAATTTCATGGATTCTTCGCTGCAGTTCCTCGGCGATATCTACATGTTGGATTTCCTCTCCCACCTCTCCCTAGTGTCAAGCCTACAAAATGTTCATAACAGACACATCAAAAGGTTGTGAACTGCTCACATGAAACAAAACAAAGAAGTGAAATACCCATATATATATATATACATGAATGAAACACAATTACAATACATAAACATAACCAGTGATGTGTGATGCTAAAATAAGGATCAACTATCAAAGGCAAAAGGTCTAACAACCAAAATGGAGTTAGAGTTGTACCCCCAATGCAATTTTTGCTTCTTTGATGAAGAAAGCACAGATATATTATTCTTTGAGTCTTCATTTCTAGAATCAAAACCTTCACAACCATCCAAGAAGCTTGGTTCTTTGTTATCAACTTTTAAACCCTGAGTTCCACTGGTTTGGCTTGATAGAAGATCACGGCATTGTGACTTCTTCTTGGATCCATCTGCAAAACCATACAATTAGGACATAAAATATAGGAGTAAAACATCAAATTAGTCCCTAAAATTATAAACACAGGTCAATTCAGTCTTTAAAATTAAATTAGAAAAATGTCATTTTAATCTTTGAAATTATTAAACAATAATTATTTTAGTCCTTAACGTTATAAAATGACAGTCATAATAAGAACCAAAATAACATTTTTCTAATTTCAGAGACTGGTGGGTTATTTAGATTGTTGTGTCATATGTACTCAAACTTATATCAATTCTATCACTGCTAACGTGTTTGGATTGGCATCAAATCCACTCAAACACGGATTCATTTCAACGCTACAAGTTACAAACGTAATTTAATGTGATTAAGTTATAGCTTTCACAAAAGTGGTTTTAGTGGGTTTCCAAACACCCACTAGATTGCTAAATGCTTGTTATATCAGAGTCTAATTTAGTATATTACTCGATTAACAGAGGTGGAACGTCAACAACGATAATAGCTTAACAAATATATAACCAATTAAAATTAAATAAAAAAAGAAAAAGGAAGAGAGAACCTTTGGGTTTTGTTTTAAACTTCGATTTTGACTTGAGTTGCAAGCGCCTCTGGTGTAGTTCCTACGACATTGAAATGTTGAGAACAAGTTAACATGGAAGAACATGAAAGAAACGTAGTAGTAAAACAATGCCCATGTACCAGAATGTTGAAAAAATCTAAAATTTAGGAGGAAAAAGAATTGAATTGAAGAAAGTACCCACACGGAATTTCTGCAGCTGGTGTTGGGTAACGACACCTTTTGAATTGAAATTTGGTTGGAGAGAGGGTGTTGATGCGATTGCAGCTTCTCTTCTACGATCTTCTTCTTCCTTTTCCATCTACTTGCCTTGCATAACCTTTTTTCTATTCGCTCAGTGAATGTTTATAAGAACTAGCATAATTTTTGTGCATTCCGTTTGTATCTATAAAACTAAAATAAAATTTCATAAATTAAACTTTAAAAAATAGACATTTTAAACTTTAATTTTATTTTAATTGATCCTTAAAGTTTATTTATTTTTTTAATTAGAGTTCCATTTATTCTTAAACTTCACTTATCTTGCAAATAGATATTTTAAACTTTATTTTTATTTCAATTGATCCTTAAAATTTATTTAGTTTATAAATAAAAAAATTTATAAATTAAGTTAGAATTAAATTATTATTGAAAAAAATTGTATTTATTTATTAAATTTTTTGTGTTGTAATTTTTTAAGCACCAAAACATAATAAAAAAAATTCTAAATTTAAAAAAAATAATGACAAAAAATTAATATATATATATATATATATATAAAATAAAGTAATGAGAAAATTTGTTCATTACCCTTTATTAATATCTAGTCTCACCAATTCATGAAATATAAAAAATTTGTATCCATACATACTTCTCCAATTCTACTCACACTAATACTAAAAGAACATAAGAAAATTTGTATCTGCATACTTATCCAATTCCACTCACACTAACTACTAGAAGAATAATACCAATTTCACTCCCTTATTATTTAATAACTCTTAAAATTAAATTTAAATATTAAAAGCATATTTTTAATCATATTATCAGCAATAAAAAAATCAAGAAAAATATTGGAAACATTTCATTTTAAAAATTATTTTAAATGATAACTTTTTAAAAATTATTTTAACTTAAATTTATAGTTATGAATAATATGTATTAAAATATAAAAATTAAATAATTTTTCAATATAATTTAATTTAAAATAAAATTTTTATCTTATAGTGTAAAAAATGTTTTTAATTAAATATTAATAATTAGTATATATTAGTAAGAGATAAGTTTCTTAAAAGTAAATTTTAAATTAAAAAAATTAAGACAACTTTTATAAATGTAAAAATAGATACTTATAACAAATAATAAAAAATTAAATAATAATTTTAATATTTAAAATTTAGAAAAAATATTACAAATGTAAATATAAAATAAAATAATTATAGAAAAAATAATTTGTACATTATTTTTAATTATAAAATATATATCTGATAAATTATAAAAAAATAAACTTATTACCTTTTTATTTATTAAATAATAAATTTTTATTTATAATATAAAAATTTATTATAAACATGTCCCTCCTTGTTAACTATAATCTGTGTAGACTCGTTTCATTTAAACAAAGCGTGCAATAAAATGACAAGTATACAATACTTTTAAACAGATAAATCATTACAAGAAGAAAATTTAAAAAATATTTTAATACATTTTATTGTTAAGTAAAATTTATTAAAATTTATAAAAGTATAAAAATATTATTAAATTAAAAAAAATATATAAATTTCAATTAATAATTAAATTTATTAAAAAATAAATTACAAAATATGTTATCACACTTTTTGTAGAAAAACATACTGAATGATGATCTGACAAGTATATAAAAAGTTTGTTACATAAATTGAATAATTCTTAGCCTAAAATAAAGATATTGTTCTAGTTTATATATATATAAAACTGTTTTAATTCAACCCTAAAATTAAAGATTAATAACTAAAATTTAAAATAACACCTACTAAAATTCTAACAATTAAACTTAAAGAAATAAAATTAAAATTGCAAGAAAAATAATTATATTCTAAATTATTCTATTGCTACTTGTACTTCAATTTATGGAAGGTCTGATAAATGAATAATTTCCTTCTCCCTTTGAATTTCTCCTCCAAGATAGATTTTAAGGCGCTGTCCATTAACTTTGAACACTCTATCAGAAAAAGGATTTTGAATTATAATTGCTCCAAAAGGAGAGACCTCCTTGATAAAAAATAGGCCTGACCATTTTGATTTTAATTTGCCTAGAAACAACTTCAGTCTAGAATTGAATAGTAAAACTTGTTGTTCAGGCTGAAAGACTTTGTGTTTGATTGCCTTGTCATGATAGGTCTTGGCTCTTAACTTGTAGATTGCAGCATTTTCATAAGCCAAATTCCTCCATTCCTCTAACTCAGTGAGCTGCAATTTTCTTTATTCTTATGATACTTTCTCGTTCAAATTTAAATACTTGATTGTCCAATGTACTTTGTGCTCTAATTCCAATGGAAGGTGACAAGCTTTTCTATATATCAGCTGATATGGAGACATTCCAATAGAGCTCTTGTAAGTTGTACGATAGGCTCACAATGCGTCATCTAACTTTGTTGACCAATCTCTTCTGCTGTTATCCATTGTTTTCTCCAATATTCATTTGATTTCTTTATTCATCACCTCAACCTGCCCACTTGTTTGTGGGTGATAAGGTGTTGCCACCTTATGCTTGATATTGTACTTGTTGAAGAGAGATTGAAGTTGTTGGTTGCAAAAATGAGTGTCACCATCACTAATTAAAATCCTTAGCACTCCAAACCTCACAAAAATATTTTTCTTTAAGAACTTGATCACAATCTGGGTATTGTTTAAGGATGCTGCAACTGCTTCATCCCACTTTGACACGTAATCAATTGCCACCAAAATGTATTTGTTCTGGAATGACGATGGAAATGGTCCCATGAAGTCCATGCCCTAGCAGTTGAAAACTTCCACTTCTAAAATGTTGTTCAAAGGTAATTGATTATTCTTAGTAATATTTCTCATCCTCTAACATTTATCACAACTTCTTGAGTACGCAAAGGAATCCTTGAAAATTGTTGGCCAGAAAAATTCACTCTGCAACACTTTTGTAGCAATCCTATCCCTATTATAATGTCCTCAATAGCTCTGAACTTCAGATTGTGGCACACATCTCTTGAGTATTCCATCTGTTTCAATTCTAAACAAGAAGGGGTCATCCCATATGTATTGATTTGAGTCCTTGAAAAATTTCTTTTTCTGCTGCTATGTGAGATTCTCTGGGATGATATTGGAGGCTTTAAAATTGGCCATGTCAGCCAACCATGGTCTTTCAATTATGGTTAAAAATTGTTCATCAGGAAAATTCTCTTAGATCTCCTTTTTTGCGGATGATGATGACATCCCTTCCGGCCTTGACAAAAATGGTCTGCAATGAAATTATTCTTTCCTTTTTTGTTACAAATCTCCAGATTAAATTCCTGCAACAATAATACCCAGAATTAATCTTGGTTTAGACTCTTTCTTAGAAAATAAAAATTTCAGAGCAGCATGATCTGTGTGAATGATTACTTTGGATCCTATAAGATATGGTTTGAATTTTTTCAAAGCAAACATAACTGCAAGCAATTCTTTTTCTGTGGTGGCATAATGTGTTTGTGCCTCATTTAATAATAATTTTTTGTAAAAAATAAGATTTTAAATTCTTATATTATTTTTATGATTGTGTATATTAAAATTTACATAATTTAAATATGGGTAAGTATGTTATCTAAAAGTTGATATTTACTTTATAAAATTAAACTACTTATAAGAAACTTGAAACTAATGGTTAGATTAATAATTTTTTTATTTTTTAAAAAATGATTAAGAAGTATCAATGTTTAAGTTTATATATATTAATATTTTGTGTAAAAATTTGTTTAGAAATCAGGAAGAACAAAGTTTGAAGAGTAGAAAATAAGATGAAAAAGGAAAAAGTATTAATACACAATTTTTTAAAATAAAAAAATAAAAATATAATATTAGGAGAATTTTTAAAATTTTTTAATTTTTTTCCTTTCATTTAAAGATTCTCTTTCTCCATCTTTCAACTATTAACTCTTAAATAAAGTTTAAAATAATTTATGTATAAAAAAAATAGTTTTGTAGAAAAAAAAATGGTCTTCTCTTAAGACAAGATTAAATCTAATAAAACTAATCCCTCTAAGTAAATATCTAATATCACAAATCAAGGAAATAAAGGATAATTACAATTTTGGATATTCACAATGAAAAAAATGGCTGCCTTAAAGTCGTTTTCAATCCAAATATGATGGATATTCTTAGAGATAACAAACTTTAATTTCCAAAATATACTCCAAGAGTTCAACAACTAGAGGAAAGCACAAGTCTAAAACTTTGTGAAATCCAGCAATAAACCTTCCTTAACTGTCTAATGAGCCATTTACAACTAGTAGATCCATTATTAAGGGAGAAACATTTCTTTTTTTTTAGATTTTCTAGATACTTGTTTTTTTTAGATGGTTAGTCTAATTTTGTTTGTTTCTTTAGACTGTTTATTAACAAAAAAAAAAAAAAGTGTCATAAAATACTAATAGTAATCAGTTTTATTTTGTATAGAGTTTATCTTATATAATAGTATATAAATTTATATATATAATAATTTTATATTAGAATATAATTTAACATAGGATTATCAGAAAGTGTGAGTAAACATTATAGGACAATGAGTCTATCCAATACATAACCAAGCACAATTAAGTTTTATCGCAACGTCAATTGATCACAGGAGCTGTTGTCCAAATATTCCGACCATTGTCCATTAACTCATCGATCACTCCCATGAGAATCACTTTTCTAAAAGGGAACATCCTTAAAGTAAAATTATCAAATTAATTTTGATTTATAAATACCTTCTTAATGTTAATATTTATTTAATAAACTTCATTACTTTTAAATTTTTTTTTGTTATATTATTAAATAAAATAATATAAACATACTAAAAAACATTTTTTTTACCAAAATTAATTAATAAATTTTATAACCAATTATAAGTTTTATTTAATAAATTTTTTATGTGATCATATATTATTAATTAATAACCCTAAAAAAATTAAATTCTATGTCATATCATTTATTATATTTATTAGTTTTTGTATTTATCTTAAAATATAAGCATGTACCAAATATTTTCTTTATCAAACAGGAGTGGAGATGGGAGGCTGAGTCTGTGTCTCAGCCCACAGAAATATCACATGTAGCAGCAAACATGGTTCCATTATTACTTATTACATAATCTTAACTTGGACCTTTTATAAATTACCACCCGTGAATAACATTATAGTTTTTACCAAAGTAAGTCACCTTCAACCAATGTCTTTTCCTACCTTGTTTTTCACGAGTTTGGCTTATTAGAAATAAAATTTAAATATTTTAATTTTAATAGATTTCAATTTTTAATATTTATTCATCTTTGTATTAGTTATTTATTTTTACTAGTAGTAGAAAATTTTCTTGATTTCCATTATTTCAGCCCACATATAGACAATTTTATTTTTGTATATTTCCATGTAAAACTTTCTTAAAAAAATGATTTAAAGTTTAAAGGAGAGCAGTGAAGAAAAAAATATTATTTTAAAAAATCAAAATAAAAAAACTTAAAACTATAGATTTAATAAAATTTTGAAATATTTATAAAATTTCTTTCGTATAAAAACTTTCTAACAAAACTTATCATCAAATAATTTTTTTTTTAAAAATTAATTTCTAAAAAGTATTTTTTTTTCGTAATACAAATAAAACTATGATTTCAGTCATGTATTGTGTATCAAAGATTCAAAATTTTATAACTGATGAAAAAAAATATATATACATACTATTATGTGAGTACTTAAAACCATATAATTTTATATCATAAACAAAATTCTCTCGTTAAATACGTAGTTTATCTTCTTTCTCTGCACTGATAAAATAAATAAATTATACTTAGAATAATTTGATTTATATATCAAAATTTATGAAAAGATTATATGTAAGGAAGAGAAATTGAAAAAAATATTCAATAAGATGAATTATATGATTATGTAAATGTTGTTTTTATAAAACTAATTTTAAATATTTATTATCTTAAAAATACAATTAATACTTTATTTTTAATAAAAAATGTTTTTAATGCTTAAATTTAGTTTTAAGAGCTATTAAATAATAAGGAAGTGAAATTGGTATTATTTTTCCATTAGTTAGTGTGAGTGGAATTAGATAAGTATGTATAGATACAAACTTTCCTATATTTCGTGAAGTGGTGAAACTAGACATTAATAAAGTGATGGAAAAATTTGTCCATTGTCCATTACCTTTTATTAATGTCTAGTCTCATCACTTCACAGAATATAGGAAAGTTTGTATCCATACATACTTATCCAATTCCACTTACGCTAACTACTAAAAGAACAATACCAATTTCACCCCTTATTATTTAATAGCTCTTAAAATTAAATTTAAACATTAAAAATATATTTTCAATCATATTATCAGCAATAAAAAAATATTGGAAACATTTCATTTTAAAAATTATTTTAAATGATAACTTTTTAAAAATTATTTTAACTTAAATTTATAGTTATGAATAATATGTATTAAAATATAAAAATTAAATAATTTTTAAATATAATTTAATTTAAAATAATACTTTTATCTTATAGTGTCAAAAATGTTTTTAATTAAATATTAATAATTAGTATATATTAGTAAGAGATAAGTTTCTTAAAAGTAAATTTTAAATTAAAAAATTAAGACAACTTTTATAAATGTAAAAATAGATACTTATAACAAATAATAAAAAATTAAATAATAATTTTAATATTTAAAATTTAGAAAAAATAGTAAAAATGTAAATATAAAATAAAATAATTGTAGAAAAAAAATTATACATTATTTTTAATTATAAAATATACATATGATAAATTATAAAAAAATAAACTTATTACCTTTTTATTTATTAAATAATAAATTTTTATTTATAATATAAAAAATTATTATAAAGATGAGCTATAAAGTACCTGTCCCTTTTTGTTAACCATAATCTAGGTAAACTTGTTTCATTTAAACAAAGCGTGCAATAAAATGACAAGCATACAATGTTTTTAAATAGACAAATCATTAAAAGAAGAAAATTTAATATATTTTAATACATTTTATTGTTAAGTAAAATTTATAAAAGTATAAAAATATTATTAAATTAAAAACAAAATTATATAAATTTTAATTAATAATTAAATTTATTAAAATATAAATTACAAAATATGTTATCACATTTTACGTACAAAACATACTGAATCATGATCCGTATACGATAAGTATATAAAAAGTTTGTTACATAAAGTGAGTAATTCTTAGCCCAAATAAATATACTGTTTTAGTTTTTTTATTTATATATATATATAAAAATTGTTTTAGTGTTAGTTATAGAAAACTTTTTCTTTTTATTTGTTTGATAAAAAAATTTACTAATTAGCATTTGTCTGATAAAAAAAATTTATTATTTTTTTATTTTATATTTGCTACTATCATATTTAAATCTAAAATATAAGTACTGCCTATCTCTGTCTTCAATAATTGTATATTCATAAGTTGTATATTTTATTTTTAATAGTAATATTGCCATTTAGAGAAATATATTTTTGGTGAGTCTTTATTTGATATATTAATCTCTAAAATTATAATATTGCCTTATTAGGTTTAAAAATAATCTCTAAAAAATTATTAAATATTTTTTAAAGTCTTTTAGTATATATTAAAATTTGATTTTGGTCCCAATAATTTTTTTTTAATTTTAATTCCTACATTCTTTTAGAATTATTGATTTTAATACTTATTTCTGACATAACTGCACAAAAAAGCACGTAACACAAAAATTAACACATGATAACATTTAAATTAAATATGTCATCATTTTATATTAAGAGACTAAACCAATATTTTTTAAAAACGTAGAAATGAAACTTAAAAGAATAATTTTATAAAGAAATATTTAATTTGATATATTTTATAAAATAAAGAAATATTTAATTCTTATTTAAAAGTTATTCTCTAATCCATAAAAAAATTAGTTCTTACTATTAAAAAATATTAATTAAATGTCAAATTAGTCAATAAAATATTAATTTAATATTATCACAGGTGATATTAACAAAATTATTAATATTTAAAGTAATGTTTTGCTTCTGTAATATTATAATACCGTTAAAAAAATATTAACACAATTTAATAATAATATTTTTATAAATAATATTTTTTAACAGTATTATAATGATTAAAATTAAAGTATAATAAAATATTTATATAATAATTAAAAATATAAATTTTGAAGCATTAAAAAATAAATTTATAAACGTTTTATTTTAATCTTAGAAGGGAAGTAAACAGACCCGCACACTGTTTCAGACTCTCTCTCATCTATTTGTTCTGTGTGCGGTGTTTTAATTGTTCGATCATCCTTGTCATTAGATTCATTGATTCATCACCGACATGGAAGACTCTGCATTGTTGAGCAGCGACTATGGTAAACTCTTCGCGGAGGACACAGACTTTTACAACCGCATTGTGCTGGCCACTTTCTTGCCACAGTGCGTGTGGGACCCACTTCCTCGCTTCTTCCAAACATGGCTTCGCAACTACGTTGGTGGAGTCCTTCTTTACTTCATATCTGGTTTCCTGTGGTGCTTCTACATTTACTATTGGAAACGGAACGTTTATGTCCCCAAAGGTCTCTTCTTCTCTTTTTTTCTGTTAAAGATGTCATGTTTTGGTTCTTTTATCAAATGGGTCTTGATTTGTTTCTTAATCTGATTTCTTATTCTTATTGTTTTTCGATTTTTTTAATTTAAAAATAAAAGAAAAGATTGATTTTTGTTTATTTGGGGTGGGGGATTGTTTGTAGGCTTTAATCTCTTTGGAGGTGATGAATTGGTGTTCAATTAGATATCGGTCTTTCAATGTGTGATTTTCACTTGACTTCTTTTTTTTAACTTTTAAGCTATTTATCTTAGATGCGTTGTGCTCGGATTCAAGCCGAATAAGCTGATATCTGATTTTTTTTTTTTTTTGTCATTGATGGTTTCCTTTGGTTACCTTGACAAAATTGATCAGTGGTCATATTTATTTATTTTCCTTTTAAATTTTGATATTGGTGTTTTTTGTATTTGAAAATGTAAGGAGGTTTTGGTTCATTTCCTGCACATGATATCTGCTTCTAATTTCTTGTTTTGGATCTGTATTTTGAATTTTTGTTTTTCATGTATGTTATCAATTATGTACTGTTTGTTTGGTAAACTGAGTAATGCCTCTCATGTATTGTATGTTGTGTAAAGGCTTATTTAAACTGTGATTTAGGACAAACAAGTTTTTCAGTGAGCATTAAGCAAGTGTTTGGGACTAATGTTTTTGTTCAGGAAAAATCCACTCAACCAAACACAATGCATGTTCCTACATTCCTAGAGAGGGCTTTTTTTGCACTTTGTTGTGATCTGTCCAAGATGCCATGGACATCTATTTTCTGGTCATTTTTTTCATCAGTTGTGGAGAATCTAAATAATTTCTCTTGTTTGCAGCTTACTTTGGTCAATTTCATTATTACAAATACCAACATGGTTTTAGTAGTTTGCAGCTGTAAATCTTACAAGAGGGATTGCATTGGTAGTGGATTGTTCAATTGTTTATTCAATCAGAACATTGGTGTTTGTTGTTTCATGCCTATATGAATTGACTAGAACCTCATTCAAATCGCCACCTTACAGTTTTTAGCTTTTCTTTCTAAGTTATAGCAATTGTCAGCTGACCATAAAGGAGAATTTTAAGTGATTTCTGTGTAAGGTACGTATAAAGTCTTCTGTAAAATTCTTTTCTTGATATATTTAAATCTACTGTTGCAGATGCTATTCCGTCACGTAGAGCTATGTTGTTACAAATAGGTGTTGCTATGAAAGCCATGCCTTGGTACAGTCTGCTTCCAACTATTTCAGAGTACCTGACAGAAACTGGCTGGACGAAGTCCTATCCTAGATTATATCATGTCGGTTGGCTTGCTTACCTTGTGAATTTATCAATTTATCTAATTCTTGTAGAGTTTGGTATTTATTGGGTGCACAGAGAGCTGCATGACATAAAACCACTTTACAAACACCTCCATGCTACCCACCACATCTACAATAAACAGAACACTCTCTCTCCTTTTGCTGGTGAGTACATTAAATATTCAACATTTTGACACTGAAGTCATTGTTTTCTCAAGCTAGAACTCTATTTATTCATATATTAATTTTTTGAAACTTTATAATACTTGATTAGAAGAGAGTTTGGTTTTCTTAAAAAGATGTTTCTGTGTATTGTTGGTTGGTTTATTTAATAATTTATGCATATATGCTGGGGTAGATGATATTGATTATAAGGATTAGAACTTGATCAGAATGACTTAATATATGTTTTTGACAAAGTAATTTCCTGGTTAACCTTCAAGTTAATCACTCATAAAACAACTTTATCATGAGAAACTAATCCTTCTGTACCGTATGTCATGTGAAACTTAAATATGTTCTTTTCAGATGCACCAGGAGTAGTTAGGGATTTGGGCAGGCCATGAACCTGACTAAGAAGCTGAGGGGGAGGGCTTGGAACCCCTTCCAAAAATTGTTGCTAGATTTGTGAATTTGTTTTGCCTATTGGTTTAGTTAGCTGAAATATGAAGAACTAAATATTAGTCACACACACACACACACATATATATATAGTAAGATTCTTTAACATGTCATATACATATCAGATATCACCAATTTACAGTATCTACTCCAGCTTGACTAAGAAACTTGCAAAACCTCATAAATGGAAGGGCATATCTAGGAAGGACGGTAGTATTAGTTACAATAAAAGGGAAATAGAAATAGAATTATGAACATATTCTGAAAGGAAGGAGACTAACAGAAACAAAGAGAGAATATGGAAAATTTTTGTTGGGGATATAAGGGTATAGACAAAACCAATAATATAGATCAGACCTGAATATATGTAAATTGAGATAAAGATATTTACTTTCATTAGAGTTGAAGTAGTTTTGTGTCTCTACAATAACATTTGTATTGAAATCCCATTTCATGCAACTTATTGTCTGTCAACCAATAAATATATTTCCCAAAATGGTGGGGAGGGCTCAAGGTATCTGTTGCCTTTAATCAATATTCCTTGATTTCATTATATAAAACTTTTAACTACATCATGCTATGCCACTTTTCATCCTTTAGCCATCAGAAACCAAGTTGTCTCTTAATAGTAAACTTTTTCTCTGGAAGCTTGACCTTATCTGTTTGTATTACCCCATGTTTTACTTTTTAAACACAAGCCGACAAACGGAAACTTCGCGTTCATTCCAAGTAGTTGGTAGACTATTTATCTTTCATTTTAGTGTGGTTTATAACCGAAGCATGTATGGAAACTACGATACTTGCAAATGACATGCTGTTTTATTAACAACATGTTTAATTAATAGTATATATGTAAGGTTTTCTTTCCTTGTTATAAATGAACGTGTGTTATTTTGTTTACTAGAACCGAGAAGCAACATTTCCATTTTGATACCGCCGTACAAAGACGTTATACTTCTCATTTATGTTAGTCTGTTACTTGTGTTGTTCTGTAATAATACTCTGGTTTCGAGAAGTACCGTTATCTTGTTCTGTCATACTCATACTACTCCAGTTTCCAGAAGTACTGTTATCTTGATTTGCACTACCGTTGGTTTCTTTCTCATGGTCACTTTGATATTAGATATTACCACTTTTGTCCATATCATTCCCACCAGATAAAGGATGGACTGACTTTTTTTCCCCATGTATCTCAGGTTTGGCATTTCACCCTCTTGATGGTATACTTCAGGCATTGCCACACTGCCTTGGTTTGTTTATCATCCCAACCCATTTTACTACACATTTAGTGCTCATATTCATTGAGGGCATTTGGACTGCAAACATTCATGATTGCATTCATGGAAAATTGTGGCCAGTTATGGGTGCTGGTTACCACACCATTCATCATACTACATATCGGCACAACTATGGGCATTACACCATATGGATGGATTGGATGTTTGGGACCCTTCGCGACCCTGAGGAGGACAAAGGCAAGGCAATGTGATGTAATGAATTGTAGACTTGCATTGGCATTCATTAGTTATCATCTCTGCATTGTTGAAATGCGGTTCCTTGCATGTAAAGCATAAGTATGTTCACTGCATTTATCTTGTGTAAATCACAAGGTGATGTTCGAAATTATAGAGACAGGGTTTAGGGTTAAGGTGGTACTTCCTTGTATCTGACTCCATTGTTACTGTGTATACCACAGGTTATGTGGTTAAGCTTATTTTCTTTCTTAAATTGTGTGGCAGAGATTGAGATGATAATGCAATTTTCTCCTCATTTGAGAACTGATGACTCCCACTATCATGCCTTGTCATGTTTCCTTCTCTTTCCCTCATTCATTGCATCAATGGTTCCAGGGTAAATTATACTTTCTTCTGAAAGGTGTTATATTACATTACACTTGCTCCTAATTTCAAAAAAATGCTCCATCTCTCTAAGAGATGAATACATGTTATACTTTATTTTGTTTGATGTAAACGAATTTCTTAACCTCGGTGAACTATGACTAAGTCTCTAAAGGGCATTTTTTCTCTCTCTGTATATTAAAGTTATTGATAGCTAATTTTAAACATTATATTATTGAGGTTTTAGAGTTCAGAAGATGAAATTAAAGTTTTAAACATACATATTATTGGCTTTGAAATTTTATTCAAAATTTTTTATTTCATCTTCTATAGTTTTAAATTTGATAGTAGAGGTTGAAAGTTAGTCGTTGGTGATGTTAAGAATTACAGTTAGAAAAAAATCCTTAGAGGTTTGTATGCATTAAAGTGAATATCTCATGAAAAGGAAACCCTTGGAGAACTTGATATTTTACCGAGTTCTATGGTGTCATGTTTTGTGTAATTGATCTCATTTAGTGAAAAAAAGTTACCATTATATGATAAGGAAACAAAATCTTAAACTAAGAAAGGAAGGAAGCAAAATGGAGTAGAATTTATTTTATACTAGATATAGACCTGCACATTGTGCAGGTATCTTAGATTCCATTTAACATCCAACCACTTGGAAGAAACTTGGCTTTGAATTCCATTCCACATCCAACATATATTAGAATAAATTTACTTGACTGTATTGGATGGACAATTAGTTATTAGAAGTCCTTTTTTATTTGTTTTTAGATTTTTTCCAGTAAAAGAAATCCTTTTTAGCTATATGTGAAAACTTTTGTTGAAGGTCTGAGGTGTACCTTTTTGGATTAAATATGTTTTGGTCTCTCAAAATATACTGTATTTTAATTTTGGCTTTTATAAATATGCCTATGAAAAAGCAACACATGTCAATATTTAAATTAGTAATATTATCACTTAACAGTGTGAATAAAGACTAAAACTAACATTTTTTAAAAATATTGTAAGGATTAAAACTAAAAAATAATTTTGTCAAAACTAAAATTAAAATATAATATATTTTAAAATATTGAAAATATAGTTGAGGCTGGTTTTTGTTCTCCTTTACATTGGCTATGCGTATTCTTTAATTAGAAAACAGAGCAAGAGTCTGATTAACGCACCAACATTTCTTAATAAGCATTTAATATACTTTATCAAAAACCTTTAATTTTAATATTTAATATAATAAACACACTTCTAACTTTTTATTAAAATTTATTAAAAATTTTAAGTTGTCTTACTCTTTTTTATATTTCTCTCATATTTATGTATTTTAACCAATAATTAAGAGTTTAAAGAGCATGTTGTTGGTATTCCTTTTCATCATTTAATAAAAGATATAAGAGAAATATTAAAAATATATTTTTTAACACATTCTTAACTATTCATTAAAATTTATTAAATATTATAAAAATATGAAAGAAAAATATTAAATTAGGATTAATAAAGAGAAAAATTCACTTAATTTTTGTATATTTAATAAATTTTAACCATCAATTAAAAATATATTAAAAAGTAAGATGTTAGTATTTTTCAAAGAATAAAAAAAACACAAATGACCAATTAAGTGCTCTAAAACTAAGGTCTTATTTATATTGACGCAATTTTTTAATACTTTTAATAAAAATTAATATTATTTAATGACTAAAATCAATTGAAAAATATAATTCAATTATATTTAATAATTTAAAATTAATTCTATTAATATTTTTTTTACCAAACTTGAAATAAATTAAGTTAAATATTTGGGTAGTGATCGAGTGTGGGGAAAGGTGACCAATAATGGATTCTGAATAGCAAGTGCATATGTGATCAGATGAGGTAGAATAAGGAGACCAAATCTGAATCACAGAGTCACACAGTCACGTCCATTTATGGGACATGCAATTCTGTAAATAAAATCTGTACAGGTTATGCAGCTTGTCCTCGTACCATGGAAAATAATGAGACAAAATATAAGTAAATTACTGTAAGTGCTCTTTTTAATTAAAATTAAATTTTATCGAATTGAAGTGTGTCAATATTTATTAAAAAAAACATTAAAGTGATATTTCAATTTTGATTAACAATGCATTACTAAAATATTTATTTAATAAATTACTTTTAAACTATGCTTATGTTATATAATTAAAAGTAACTCATTTTAATACAATATATTAAAAAATATTAAATTTAAGCTGAAAATAATCATAATTTTTTTATAAACTCTTTTAAATATCCTCTTACTTTTTATCTAAAATAGTAATCAATTCTTGCGGATGAAAATAATAAAATGCACACTTTTCTTTTTTCCAACCTTAATTTTTTACATTTAAAATTTTACCTATATTTTATTTATTTTTATACCAACTTTATAGTTTAATTATTATGGGACAGCATGGAAGTCAAGTTTGGAACCAATATTTATATCTCTAAATTTACTGCTGTTAACCATCATGCTTAAATTGTATAGTAATATTAACGTAATTGGTAGTTCAACAATATCATTGCAATATGTATTGACAGTTCAATAATAGCAATACAGCTATGTCCCATTAGTAAGTATTAGAAATTCAAGTAAGAATAATTCTGATATTAACGAGTCTACAAGTGCCCAAGTAGTTTTTTAAATACTATACATTTAATATTAAGTTAATGATGTTAATATGACTAAAAGTATGCACGTATAAAAGTGTAAAGGTTTTTTTGTGCATATGTTGTTGTAGCTTCGGATCATGGAATTTAACCATGCAACCTGCGAAATGATGGTGTTTTGGAATTTAACCAGGAACTTACATTGGAAAGAAGTAATAATGATGATTTTGACGAAGATGAAACTTCTAATAAAAATTCATTAAACATATTTATTGATGATGACTTTGATTATATTTTTCAGCGAATCTAACTGTAGTTACTTCTTTAATTGCATCATTGATCTTCATTAGTTCATCACCACAACAAGCAAGTTAGCATTAATCAGTATATTGTTATAATTAAAAGAAGTTACATGCATGCATTTAACGGTTTTATATATTTACATTTATAGAAGAACAAAGTATATTTTAGATTTATATTAATCTTTATATCCCACTTCAACAAAAAAATTCAAAATTAAATGTGCCAGTTCCACAAAAACTCTCCAAATGTGCATGCGATGGAAGCAAATCTCTACTAACCACATCAACACATCATTATCATAAGGTTCCCACACAATCTATCAACAAGTGTAAATAATTATTATCAAATATAATAGCATCACAATAGTATTAACAAATATGCTAATAAGAAAATAACATTTTTACACTAATACTATATAATAGTGAGGTCACAAATATGCTAATAAATCCTAACAATTGTAAAAGAAAGCAAAATTTCAACTATTTGTAACATTAAAATCTGCTCCCAAGCCCAAATCTATATAATAGTGAGGTCACAGATCTCTTTATTACATATTAGATTACACAACTCACGATATAAATTCCTCAAAGCAGACACTTATATTTTCTACACTTATTAAGATCCTCTAACAAAGGAAGATACATATTAGCAATGTTAGGCTGTTAAAGTGATTAAGAAACATCAATAATAATAGATATATCTTAGAATTTATGCCCAAATTTCGATCATTAACATTAATAATGGTCTATCAACAATAAATCATGCATTTGATCATTTGAAGGCGATTTTCCTAATAATTGTTGCACCACAAGGCTTTCAAAACATGCTATCCAATCACTATTGAGTTGGCCTGATTTGAGCTTCAAGCTTTGTTAGATTGAGTTTTTTTTAAAATGGTATACTTCTTATTTGTACCTTAAAATATGCCTTTTTATTGGAAAAATGCCCTTTTTTTTCCGTCAACATACCTTAAAATATGTCTGAGTTACACTTTTAGAGCGAATCAGCCCAAGTTCAATAAAACAAAGTAAATAGGTTAAGCGAAAAAGTTCAAATAAGTAATAGCGAGTTTAAATAGGTCAACTCAATTAAACTAGTCATTTTGTCGCTTCTAACACAAACCTCATTGGCATGTAACACACTTTTTCATTTTTAAAGAGTTGCACCAATTATTTTGACAGTATACTTGTTACACTACATAATATATGTATCTTACATGTCAAAGGTAATCACAAATTAATAATTTGTTTTCTTTAAAGTTATTTGATATATTATTTTATATTTTAAATAACTTTTGTCAAAAAGCCTATTGAATGAGTAGAGGGAGAGCTTGGGGTAATGAGTTGTTGACTCTGTAGCTTTGCTCTGTAATAAGAGTGGTATAGAGTTGCATTTAACAAAAATTAAGATAAATTACTCATCCCATTCATTTATTAGAAAAAAAAAAACAGTATATCTAACGGTACACACGATTTTTCGGCTTATGTTACGCTGCCCATAAAGTGGTCCAAGTTTAGACACATGAATGTGACAACCAACGACGAATTTTAGTAAAGGAAAGATAACTCAAAAGTATGGTGAAAGGTTGGGAATAATTTCAAAATTCATATATTCCATAGACAAAAAGTGGTCCAAAAATTCTTCAGAGTCATTAGGGGTAATGGAACAAGTACAATATAAGGACAGAATGAAGGAATCCTTAATGGGCCGGTGGCCACCTTAGCAAGAACTTTTGGAGTGATACCCTCCAAGTCATAGTGAATTATCAAAATAGACATTTCACCACCCCTAGAGGAAATGAGAGGCAAAGTTCATATAAGATCATAGGATCAATAAAAGTAATCTTAGCTCTACAGATAGAATCTTCATGATAGGCTTATGTAGTCCAATCTATTCTCCACCCACTAGAAGAGGAAGGTTAGTAGTAGGGACCTAGCTTGGATGGGAAATGATTCAGCATGACCCTAAAAGCCAAGGGAACAGGGAAATGACTTGATATGGCAAAAGGCAAAGGAGAAGAA